GACTCCATGTTAGACTGTGCCAGCATCGTCATCACTGCTGCTGTTGGGGGCTGCGTGGGCTTAACAGACATTATAAAAGATGGATGTAGCTTCCAGATCTGAAAGTATTTGCTCATCTGCCGTCACACACACATGAACTTAACTGACATCCCATTCTTAAACTACAAGGTTTAAGGATTTAGGATGTCGGCACACCCTGCAGCATAACAGCTTCAAATTGTCTGGGAAAGCTTTCTACAAAGTTTAGGAGTGTGTGTATGGGAATCTTTTAAAAATCACCTAGTAGTGCATTTGTGAGGCTGATGTTGGATGAGCCTGATTCAGTCTCTCCTCTAATTCATCCCAAAGGTTTTCTAAAGAGCTTGGAAAGAAAGTGAAAAGACTTCTTTATCCCCAGAAAGTTGATTGTGTTCATCTGATCGTAGTGTTTACAGTGGGAGAAACGTTCAGAGCCTGAAGACTTCTTTAGTCATTTCACAGCTAGCTGCTAGCCCATGCAGAGCTTATAGCGCCTTCCTGCACTGAGAATACGAAGCATACGTGGCTACAGGATGTTTCCTGTGAGATCAAACTTCTACCATACACCTGGTAGATGGTTCGAATTAGTGTGTGAGCACGTTCACATCATAAACTGTGATCCAGAGTCACTCTGGAGTTTGTTTGGAACCACACAGAACCAAACAGTCTCGCTGAGGCTGCTTTGGTCTGCACGTGAGCGCGATTACTGTGTTCACACCTGCACAAACAAACCACACCAGGTGGAAAAATGAGCTGAAGTTAAACACTAATGATTGCTGCTGCAGCTCACCTGTGTTCCTATGCTCCAGTAGAACCAGCCCACATAGGAGGGGTGTCTGAAATAGGCGTAGACCCCACTGGTGACCAGCACATGGCTTTGGGCCTTCTCATTCTGGACAATGTGATTGAAGTTGGAACCGGCTGTCAACATGGCCGCCTTCCGTAATCCTTCACCACACAGAACCATGAAGAGACCCAAGACGCTCAACCAGCTGAGTTGCTTCAGTTCTATAAGAGATAAGAAAGACCGATGAAATACTGGTGAGCACATAAAAAGCCTGAGAGCGCAGATCAGGATCTGACCAGCTGCTGGTCTGCAGGCCAACAGGAAACCAGGGTACATCACTTCCTTTATTCAACAGAGGTGTGAGCACATTAGGTGTCAGTATGTTCCCATGAAAGGATGATGGCTGGCCTCTTTCTCCTTCCTTCTCTGTTATCTATTAAAAAAACAGATTATTATATTTCTTTGATGTTGATGGTTACACGAATAGCTGTTCATGCATTTTGCATGTCGCCACAGGTTCCCAGCTAAACTATAATGTTACTTAAACTTAACAAACATGTTTACTTCCTATTTTGAAACACGAATCTCCAACCACTCTTTGGAACTGTTGATTGTCATACCCATGTGACAGCAAGGAAAGTGATACATCTCTGGCAGCAGCCAGCATCATACTGGGTACTACGACACGGCCAGAAGCTCTGCACATAGGATGTGAGTCAGCCATGAATCCATTAGCCCATGCACACGCTCCACAGTCTGGATGTAATCTGAGATCATTGTTATTTCAGCATGAGCTAATATACTGGATCAGGCAACCTCCCTTCTCAACAGTTCTGAGTGGACTGAGTGCAGGTCATTACACAGATGACACACCAACCTGGAACGGTCAGCTTCTCCACAATGAACTCCACCCATGATGAGACAGCAGCCAGCGTGTACTCCACACTGTGGTTGAGCAGGAATGAGTCCAACGACAGGCTGCGAGGGTTGATGATGGCCGTTACCAGATACTCGGAGTAATGGAAGAACGACAGGGAACACATGTACCTGCAGAAAGACAGGATTACTTCACGTTCAACTGTAGCCGGCCTATATTAGGAAAAAACACATCCTGATGTCAACGTATGAAAATCTATGTAGAATTTAACCAAGAAAGTGTGACATATATATAGTTTTACACAACATAACAAATGTACATACCAGCCAAAATGTGTCCAAGTGGTTTCAGAGAAGGTTATAATTAAACCACAGCCAAAGGTCACTCCCAAAAAGCAGGCCCTCACAGCAACCTAGAACGAGGACATGCTGTTAACACACTCTGCACTCACTTTTTCACTGTCCAGGTATTTAAAACTCGTCCTTCACTATTACACCCGTCTGCTCCGCATTCACAAACATGTATTCTGTCTTGCTTCTACCGACTTTAATTCTTCTCCTATCCAGAGCATATCTCCACCTTTCCAAACTTGATCCCACCTGCTCTGTACTCTCACTACAGATCACAATGTCATCTGCAGATATCAAAGTTCAGGGAGACTCCTGCCTGACTTCATCTTCAACCTGTGAACAAGATGGGGCTCAAGGCAAATCCCAGCCCCACCTGTGGCTCAGAAGGGGTCATCTCCAGATCGATAGTTTGTTTCACAGCTCCTCCAGTCTGAATGTCAAATGATCCATGGGCAAGCTGCCCCCTGTGCATCCACAATGCAGAGCGTGAGTGAATGACAGACAATGCACTCATTGATAGGAAAACTGCTTGAATAAATGTGTGTATTATTGGATGAATAAGTCTTGTAGTAAAAAGTGCTTTGAGTGCACAGTATACAAGTACCAGACCATGTATCCCCTGGAACTCATTCCAGCTGCACACCTCACACACTTCTATGTCACTCCTGACTTTACTCATACAGTACCACAATGTGTCTCCTAGCATCCTAAGATATGCTTTGTCTACATCCAGAAAGACAGTACCTTATCTATACTTCTCCAATGCAAACATACAATCTGTAGGGGTCTTCTCAGTCTTAGTTCAAAAACTCTTTCCCATAGCTTCTTGGTAAGGCTCGACAGTTTTCTCGCTCTGTTGTTACTACTGTGCTACATATCACCCTTGTCCTTGAGAAGCAGTACCAGTATCCTCCTCCTCTATTTCTCAGGCATTGCATTAAACAATGTGTTTGCAAAGTCCGCTGCCCTGCTCTCTCAGAGAGACCAAGACAATCCCATAACTCCACAGGTATGTTATGTGGACCAAGCGCCTTTCCACTTTTCATTCTATTTATAGCCCTCACATCTTCCTTGCTAATCCTATGCGCTTCCTAATCCTGTAACTGTCCTCCTTTCTCTCATTTTGTAATTTATCACTGCCTCTTTCTCCATTCATCAACTCAAGCAATGCTGTATAAGTAAATTATATTAGATACAAACCAATACAGGACTAAATGAGCAGATTTCTGAATGGACTTCTGTATTACTTTCTTGTCACAGCACATAAAGTAACTGTTAGTACCAGTTATAGAGTTTAGCCATTTCAACTGTCTAAAATCAGCAAGTTCCTAAGCTTAACAGACTTCTATGTTTAGCACACTAATACCAACAGCCTCTCTCTTCTTTTGCTAATGAGATTAACTCAGTGTTAGCTAGGCTAGCTAGGCGACTCAGTTGGATAACATTAGCAGCAAGATTTAGCATTTAATATTAAATGGCGTAAAACTTGATTGCTATATTAACTGCAGGATGCCAAAACAAACTGAGGTCACAAAAAATACGACTTCAGCATAAGATTCAGCACAAAAGCAGGAAGTTGGTAACCTTATGACAGCACCTACCTTGTACAGAGGTCCCTTGTATATCAGAAGTAAGAGGCCGTTAATAAGGGCAATATGAGAAGAAATCGCAATTTTCCCGGGAGTCTCGGTCAGATAATCAAAGACCCAGTCGTGACGTCCAAACCAGGTTCTGATCAGAGGAATTACAACCACGCTAAGCCCTAAGATAAAGCCATTTATACTTACTCTAGCCTCTAATACCAACTTACTGCCTGCCATGATGGAAATACTGTACAGTGGTAAAATGAGATATCGCGAGAACTAAATGACAATCTCGTGACGTCATGTGACTGCCTTTGTATCTTATCAGCTGCCAGTACAGAAAACCAGAAGAGTCATGCGGATCAAATAAACAGTTTTGTGCTTCAATAATGAATTGTGCAATAAAATATGCGTTAATACATGCATTTGTTAAAAATGATTTTATTATTTAATAATTAAATTAAAAATGAAAGCACTATTTATAATTCAATATTTCAAAATTGAATATTTCAAATTGAAAAAAAAAATTCACAAACAAAGAATTAAACTCTCAATAAAAACATCTTTTCAAAAACGATTTTCGAATTCCAAATAAAAATATAGATTTAACCTGGTGCTTCCTACCTGCCGACCGTTTTTAGTATTGTGATGTTTCGCATGTTTCTTACAGTTTGAAGCAGATGCAACTATAAGAATCAGCACTGAGCCCTTACATTTCTATACAGTGTTCAAGTGATGACTGCAACCTACAGCCTTTAAAATCATGATTAATCCAACCTGCAGATATGGACAGTTAATGTCACGCTGCTCAAGTCTTGTAATTAAGCTGATTTTTAAAATTAATATATACTTGGACACACACACACACACACACACACACACACACACACACACACACACACTTTATCCAATATGATTCTGGAATTTAAATATAAAATATTTTAAAAGATTTCAACTTCAATCCACGTGTCAAAGATATGCAGCAGTGACAATAGTCCATTTGATGTTGCATTTTTACAATAATACAGTTTTAAGTGTACTGAGTTGTAACAGTGTTTTTCCTGATTCTTTTCCTAATAGAATGATTTGAAAAAAAATTCTTCCATTACTTGACATTTTCAGCTAATAACAAATATTTTTGGTAACATAGGAAATATTTACTTAACTTAGGAATGTAGAGTTCAGACAGGCAGCACAAATGATTTGTTATGTATGTTAGGCATGATTTGATCTGATTTATTCTTGTGAAACTGTGTGTGTGTGTGTGTGTGTGTGTGTGTGTGTGTGTTGGGGGCAGTCTCCGCTTTCTATAAATGTAATGCTAATACTAATTATTTTCATTGGTGTATGACTTGTTTACAAATCAATAAGCTACACTTTATTGCTTCGAGCATTGCTGGACGTACAAATGAAACTCAGGTCATGAGAATATTTCATCAATTCAATTATCTTACAAAATGAAAAAGATTTTATTTATCCATATCAGATTTACATTTCATCACATGGAAAAAAGCTAATTTCTTTACAGTTACATTCAAAACATCAAACATCAAGAACAAGTTAAAAAAAGAAGATCCACTCAGCAGAGGAACAGACTTGTTCCTGGGATGGTCACTGAAGACAACAGACAGAAATTTAACTCATGTTAGTTTGAACTATGATACCCTGAACTCAATAAGGAATTCTGGACCATTCATTTAGTATTCACTTGCATTCTATCTTCTTTGGCTGCTTGAGAAATAACTGGAAATCTTGCTTTGGGACCTCAAAGGAGACAAAAGCGAAGCTGGAAAACAAAGAAAAAATGCAAAAGGAAAGTTTTATATGTCAGATGTCGTGTTCATTTTATTATTTCAAATCCTTTTCGTTACTTAAAAAAACATGACATCAAACACACAACAGGATGACACATGGAAAAAAGTTTCCAATTTCGTTGTACTGTTGTTCTATGTATGACTGTGCAATAACAATAAAGAGTTATCTGTATCTGTCATGTGTTAAGGCGCTGACAGAAACCAAAAAATAAAAAAATAAACGAGAACTGAATATTCAGTTTTGCGGGGTGGGTAAAGTTATATGCCCACAGTATATTGTGAAGTGGCACCATATAAATAAAACTGAATGAATGAGAATGATTAGTCACAAGGTAAAGCACACTTTTCTAGACCACAGGGATTTACCTTCAGGTTGTTCTTGCTGCTCCTCAATCATAACAGGAACATCAGGAGCAGAGACTGGCTGACCTATCAAGCCATCCAACATGTCTTTGTACTGCTTCTTGTGGTTAGGACGAATAAACATACCAAATCCTTAAGAAAAGGAACACAAGAAAGTCGTTTCAAACCACAAACATTTACAGGAAGATGGCAGAGAACATCTCATGATCTGGAAGAACACTTACTGACAAGAAGGCCGAAGTTCTCATCTCTCTCAGTGAATAAGTTCACTGCTGTGGTCACCAGTTTTTCATAGTTGTCTGTGTTTTTGTAGGTGTGAATAGCCTGAAAGAGCTGTGTCGATCTCTCTGCCCCAAGAGCTTTTTTCACATCAGTCAGAAAGGTAGTGTGGACTTCATTCTTTGATGTAGAACCTGATCAACATAGTTTTATGCTTAACCATCACTGACACACATTACATGACACAAGTTTGTTGTATGGGTATGTATTAAGTAAACATCATTACTGTTTGACAAAAATGCAGCATAATATGCAGAGAATAGGTGAAAACATCAGCTACAGGTAGACCGAGCAGTCAGCTGAGACTGCAAGACCAGGCTCACCAACCTGTGCACGGCCTGGATTGATTACAAGAAGGCCTATGACTCAATGCCCCACACCTGGATCCTGGAATGCCGAGAACTGTACAAGACCAACAGGACCCTAAGAGCCTTCATCAGAAACTCAATGGGAATGTGGCGTACAACACTAGAGGCCAACTTCAAGCCCATAGCACAAGTCACCATCAACCAAGGTGACTTGTTGATCTCCTCTACCAAGGAGATGCTCTGTCCCTGCTGCTGGTCTGCATAGGCCTGAACCCCCTCGTGAGATCATTGGCTACGGATACAGACTACAGAACGGAGCAGTTGTCAGCCACATCCTGTACATGGATGACATCAAGCTGTATGCCAAGAATGAACGAGACATCGATTCACTGATCCACACCACCAGGATATACAGCAATGACATCGGAATGTCGTTCGGACTGGAGAAGTGCAGTTGGATGGTAACAAAGAGAGTTAAGGTAGTCAGAACTGAACAACATTGCAGACACAGAGGACAGCTACAGGTACCTGGGGATCCCACAGGAAAATGGGAACCATGAAGAAGCTGCTAGGAAAGCTGCAACCACCAAGTACCTGCAGAGGGTCAGGTAAGTCCTGAGGAGTCAGCTGAACAGTAAGAACAAGATCCGGGCTATCAACACCTGATCAGGTAACTTGCTGGGATAATAAGCTGGCCAAAGGAGGAGATAGAAGCCACTGACATCAAGACCAGGAAGCTCCTGACTATGCATGGACAGTTTCACCCCAAGTCCAGCACCCTGAGGTGGTACGCTAAGCTAAGGAAAGAGGCCGGGGACTGTGAGTGTCAGCACCACAGTCCAGGATGAGACAAACAAAAGCCAGAACACTCCACGGTATGTACCACCAGCAGATAGAGGAGGTGGCTGACATCCAGAAATCCTACCAGTAGCTGGACAAAGCTGGACTGAAAGACAGCACAGAGGCACTAATCATGGCAGCACAGGAACAAGCTCTGAGTACAAGATCCATTAAGGCTGGGGTCTATCACACCAGGCAAGACCCCAGGTGCAGGCTGTGTAACGATGCCCCTGAGACAATCCAGCACATAACAGCAGGGTGTAAGATGCTAGCAGACAGGGCATACATGGAACGCCATAACCAAGTGGCCGGCATAGTGTACAGGAACATCTGTACCGAGTATGGCCTGGAATTCGTCTTTCATGTTTAAAATGGAATATTGTGTTATTCTTCCAAAATTCTTCCTTGACATTCTTTTCTAATCCATGTATCTCACACACATTTCCAAGAACAAAATGAAGAGCGTGTTTCATACCGTTCTGCAGCATTACAGTCTTCTTCTCATCCTTGGACAGAGTGTGATCAGGTTTGTATCCACAGCCCTGCCTTGCCATCTTCTGGCAATTTTCATCAAACCTCTTTTTGTGGTGTGGGCGAACAAAGTGGTAGAGGCCTGTGACACAAGGCAGCAATAGCAATCAACTACAAACTGTTTTGCATTAACACACTGTTAATGTGGTGCCCTGATACTGAAATCATGACTTTGACATTGATATTATTCCTGTGTAGATATCAAGACTAATAATGTTGACAGTTATGTTCAGTTTTTCAAAAGTAACGTTGGGTGAGGTGTTCTTACACTACTGTGAAAAAACAGGGCAAACTACAAAGAACGATTCAATTATTGTAGAGAAATCTCTGTAAGACACAAGGCTGAAAACTCATACTGACTGACTATGATCTGCACTGTATCTAAATATGGCAATGTTCATGGGCAATTTAGGAAATCACTGACTGCAAGAGATTTTTACCCAGTTATTAAAAACAATCTTTATTTAAAATTATGTTGGTTTGTCTAACTACTTTGAGCTTCTGAAAATGCATGTTATAATTCCTTAACAGTTAAAGCAATACTTAAACCCTTTGAATTAAAGCTTATCTCATCCTTACCATGTGAACAGAGACACAACTTTTACAATTTTGCACTGTGCTCGAGTGCAACAAAGCACAGTCATTTGTTGTATATCAAATGAAACAACCTGAACGTTGCAGTTTAGAAAATGTGATCTTCATAGAAACCCTGCTTGTCAATACATTCTGCACATATTCAAACTATCGTGCTGTGTACGTTTTAAAACATACTAATTATACATATTAAAATAATTTAAAACACTTTATTGAAAAGAGTGCAAAGACTTTAACGGATTTGTAAATAGTTGCACTAGTTAGACTCATTTTACAAAGAGCGTAAAATGTCTAATCATAAATTAAGAAAACGTGTTCTGTAGAGTTCAGACGTCTGCAAAGCAGGTATACTTTATAGGTGGCAGCGTACTGTCATTCTTCAGTGTTAACTATGTGTGGTGTTTATCGTTTTAATAGCAGTGTATTGCCGTACCTTCTAGTATCAGTACACAACATGCAGTGCTACCACATGCAACACTGAGGCTCAGATACGAGTCTGAATGTTCAGGTCGCTTTGTGTTTATTAGAGCAGAAGATTTACCATGGAGGAGACTCTGAGTATTAGTGTCTTCACTTAAAATTGCTGTCTCAGTCAGCAGGTGATTCAGGTCATCAGTCTTTTTGTAGGTGTGCAGCGCCCGTATGATGCGGTGACAGCAGACCTCACTCAGGGACTTCTTCATGTCCGCCAGGAATGTCTTAGCCCTGCTGGGTTTACATTCTTGAGACAAATCCTCAGGGACACCCAGCTTCTTCAATAACCATGGAGGAAAAGATAATCTCAGCAGCAGTGTAAATTCAAAATGATGTTAAACAATCTGGTTCAAAGTTCACTGCCCTCTGTTACACATCTCTGTACGTCTACAGGTATGTCATCTGGACCAACAGCTTTTCTAGTTTTCATCCTCTTCACATCATTCTTACTAATTGTCTGCACTTTCATCAGGTGTGTGCACCATAGGTTTATTAGATAAATATTTGCTTAAAAGTTCAAATTGAGTTAACAGCAGGCCACAGATAAACATAATTATCCCAACCCTTTAAACTTTAACGATTCATCCCCAACTTTCAACAGTCAGAAAAGACGTTTTCACCGAGTCCAGCTGTGTGTTGTTTAGAACACCACTTACCTGTTCTTGGACCAACTTGATTTTACGTTTTCCACCCCGCAACTCATCCTCCATCCTCTTATCGTATTGAAGAGACAGTGTGGACAAATGATTTGCCTTCAAAAGCAAAACAAGTGGAAAATGTGGTATTTAAACTTTTTTGTTTTATAGTGTAACACCCCACCTCACCCCACCCCCCACACACACACGATGTGAGTTAATAAAACGAGCTACCTTTTCCTCTCCCATGGTAAAATCACTGTCCTCTCCAGTGCCGTGGTTGCCTTGCTCCAAAGCATCCAGCAAGTTGAGTGGTCTCCTCTGACTGTCCTGCACCTCACTCTCATACTCAAGGCAGATCCTGGCCATTCCACTGGCTCCACTGTTCTCATCTGACCACAAAAACAAGGGTTAAAATTCATCAAGGACTCACTTTAGAGTAGCTGTAGCTGGAAATTTTAAAACTAGTGCTTCCAGCTGTAGGTTTAGGATTAACTGGCTCTTAGTTGAATTTCTACCATTTATTATTGAAGTCTGTGTTTCTACTATAGTTTTTCTACATTTCAACTGCATAATGAATTCTAAAGACACTCCTGTGAAACCCTTTGCTAAACGTATCTAGTATAGCAAAAGAACACCTTCATCTTTAATAGCAAAACATCAAACCACATCCATTGTACTAACTGAGTCTCCTCCTCTTCAAGCTGGGAAGGTATGTGTCCAACACCTTGGCCTTCTGGGTGTGAGAAGTTTGTGAGGAGGAGCAAGAGGTGAAACTGGAGGACTGAGTGTCTGATGAACACACAGCCGCACAGCTGTCTGCTGGAGCCTTCTTCCCAACCACAGGCCTCTTAAATGTTTAATGCACACACTGTGAGTATAAGCTGACAACCTGAACTGTAACCAAGTGTCTACACACCTTTACTGCACATGCAATGAATGAAAACCAGATAAACGATATGTTAGTAGACATTTATTATGAAAGTAATAAGGTTGACATGGTGTTAAAAAAACTCTTATCTTCACCTTTATTCCACAGAAACTCACAGAAAACACTTGACATCAAATTATATTTCAGCACGATGAACAGTGTCATAGCCATTAATGGAAACACTCCAGGTAATTATTCACTTTTTGTGTTTTAAATCAAAAAGTTTTCCATTTTTTCAGTGCTTAAAATAAAAAAACCTTCCCTCCAGATCAGAATCAGTACTATTAGCTGGTTCCTTAACAAAACTGAATAATGAAAGAATTTGCAGCATTGTATGAACTGTGCAGGTGCGACTACCCACCATTTTTTGTGCAGTCCTGAAGAACTGAGAGACATCACGGACCACGTTGCCAAAGCTGTCACAGAGGCGCACATACGACCTCACCCACGATGGAAGCTGAGCCCGGGCATCGGCACTTTTAAATCTGTGGGGAAAGTTTTCCTTTAGTTTAACAATCATTTTTTTATCATCAATAAATAATAAATAAGGTGACCGAAGCACTTAATTGAAGCTTGTGTGCTGCTGTGTGGTATAGTGGAGGATGTTCCCTCTGATGTGATGTTACTGAAGTAAACCAGCTCTGACCTCTGATCACACAAGAAGATCGCTCCATAGTCTTCCTTGTGACGAATCACTCTACCAATGGCCTGATTCACAGCTCTGAAAGCCTGCTGTCTGTACCAGTCTTGCCCTGATAAGTACTGTTTACACGCACAAAGACAGAGAGATCCAACTACCGTAATACGACAGAGCAACTTTTTAGTGTACATCAATAGTTAATTTTCTTTCACCTTGAGCCCTGGAGCTTTCTTTTGATTCATCTCATCCAAAAATTGCATTTTCAGGACAACGCGAGGGTCTTTTTTTGGAGGGAAAGGAAGGCCAGTAATGATGACACCCCGACCAAACATGTCTGCAAAATCCAGACCCTCGCTCGCCTAAGACAAGAAGATATAATTACAGAACGGCTATTTGTGTAACCCTACACTAACATGAAAGAAAATCTGTCTATGCATCTTCTTAAATGTTTATCCAATTAGTCCCAGCATCACAGAACAGGAGGTAGCGTGCACCCTGGAAAAGCAATAAAACTGCTAACAAAGAGAGACAACCATTCACACTCACGAGCCATCATTACAAAAACATTGTGTAGTTATGCAGTGTGTCAACAAAAGAAAAAAAAAAAGATGTCACATCTTTGGCACCCTTGTCCTCTCGTGTCAACATGTCCTTTGAATATCATATACAGGTGTGGTCAGAGGTTTACTTGGTATAAAAGTCATGATTATTTTGGGCTTCTAATGATTTCTTTCAACTGCTTTATTCAGGGTGGAATGATGTTACAGCACTCATCTCTTATGACTTTCACAAAATTGAGTGCACTACTTTAAATTAATTGAGATTTTATATTAATTGCACAGGGTCAAAGGCATATAATAAACTCAAATATCAACAGACATCCACTTAAATCTTTCATAAAGTCTTTTAACTTGATGAGGTCAAGGCCTATAAACTCATTAGTGATCATGATCCATTACAACTACAAGATTTGTCTGGATTGACCAATACTCAGAACAATATGAAAATCCAAGGAACTCAGTAATGAGCTAATAATGAGAACTGTAGATTTATGCCAATTGGAACATTTCTGAACTGCAAATTCCAAGATCATCAGTTCAAACTATTTAAGTAAATACAAGTTACTCAGATGTCTCACCACTTTATCAAGCTCTGGAAGGAGACTCAAACGGTCAGCCTCAGATTGAGAAAATAGGATATTCAACACCAACAGAATTTGCAGCTGCCCACACAGAGAAGGCAAATGATTTCTCGAGAAAAGTTTTTTGGACAAACAAGACAACGACTGTGTTGTTGTTGACAATGAGCAGGTAGTCTAAGGAGCTTGGAAAGAAAAGTGTCTGGACTTCTTTAAGTTGCTTGAAGACGTTTCACCTCTCAGCTGAGAAGCTTCTTCAGTTCTAGGGTCAAATGCTTTTCTTTCCAAGCTCCTTAGACTATGATAACCTGGATGACTTCACAGACCTTCACAGACAATGAAAACTGGACTGGACGAGTAAAAGTGAGGCCTTCAAACCTAAGAACACCGCGCCGACTATCAAGTATACAGAGGGATGATTTGCCTGTTGTACATTCATGCTCACGATGAGTGTACGTAAACTTCTGACTACAACTGCATACTCACTGTATACAGCTGAAGTTTTGAGGTGAAACATGATAACAGAAAACATTTTAGGACTTTTACAGACTTCATGGACAGCCTCCTCACCTTCCCTCGACACACAGCAAAGAAGGATCCTCCTTTGGATGCTGGATCATTGACTTTGCCGTAATAACCATCAATAACCTGGGAATAGACAGAGGCTAAAGTTTAATCAGATCTTTACTTTTTTTTTTTTTTTTACTATAAGCAACTTAGGAAATATTTTTAGATGTGAAAATGTGAATAGAGGGGTTTACAGCCAAGTGATTAGATACCTAAAAAAACACTCACGTCATTAAAGGTGCCCTTCCCTTTAGGTTCAACAAACATAGGCTTTATGTTCTCAATGCGGTTTGCATGTCCGTTAGCCTGGTGATGACACACATGCAGGAAATGATTTACAGCAGCATCTTAGATTGTTATAAATGATCCATTTGACTGCGGAGTAACATAAACGTAACATAAATAAATTGGTTCATACAGGTTACAAGGCTTTTGACTTAATGATTAACTCTTTTGATATCTTTACATTCTATTTTTTAATATGCATTTCTTATGTATTTCTTGCACACTTCAGAAAGCAATTCTTAGCTTCTAATTAGTATAAGAAGAAGTATTTATGTAATTGAAATAATGATGAGAAAATAAAAAAATGTTAAAGCGATTTGGAAGTTTAAACTATGCTTAAATTCATGATGAAGTAAGGTCACAGAGAGAAACAGACAGGGAGGATGGTAAGGTGTAGTGATTAAATGCCAACAACAGTGACTGGATGCCACAATGGGTGTGAGCCCAGACATCCCCTCAGAAGATGTGACATCCAGGAAGAGAGGTGGGAGAAAGGATAACCAAGTATAATACTGTAGTGCAGAACAAATAAAGGGTTTTCCATCTGTCATCTAGAAGATGAGCAGTTAAAATAAAATAAAGTAAAATAAAAAAATTGGATCTCATAGTTCACAGTTGAAAGTTCCAGCAGAGACGCCAGAGGGATCAACTGCTGCCCAAACTATGGACTTACAATTTGGCTTAACATTCTTTGGTTCTTTCTCTCCTCAAACCCTCTCCTCTCAAAGATCAGAAGAGAATCAGCATTAGCTCCGAGTAGGTTAACTGAAAAAGTATAGTTCAAGTGATTTGATTATTCGGTTTTATGGTCGCGGAATTTGATCTCTGCTTTTTGCAGATGATGTGGTTCAGTTGGCTTCACCGGGTGATCGCCTCCAGCTTGCACTGGAGGAGGAGGAGTTTAAGTGTCTCTGGGTCTTGCTCACGAGTGATGGGAGAAGGGAGCGGGAGATCGACAGACGATTGGTGCTGCGGCTGCAGTGATGCGGACGCTGTACAGGTCCGTCGTGGTGAAGAGAGAGCTGAGTGTAAAAGCGAAGCTCTCAATTTACTGGTGGTCCCTACCCTCACCTACGGTGACAAGCTGTGGGTACTGACTGAAAGAACGAGATCGTGGAAATTGGCTTCCTCCGAAGGGTGGCTGGCCTCTCCCTTAGAGATAGGGTGAAGAGTTCAGCCATCCAGGAGGGGCTCAGAGTAGAGCCGCTGCTCCTCCACATCGAAAGGAGCCAGCTGAGATGGTTTGCGCATCTTACAAGGATGCCTCCTGAGTGAGGTGTTCTGCACTGCAAGGCTACTCAGCCCTGGTTTTTCGGGTAGGCAGAGTAGACATCGGGAGGCTAAGAGGCAGTTGGAACTGGACGAGTCCCCTCATCAATTGGCTCCATCTAAGCTCTCTGCAATTTTTAATACTCGTAGGCTCAGAGACTGGACTATTTAAACAGAGAGACCTGATCCAGACTTCCTGTACTGGGGTCCTGGTTCCACAGGATGTGTGACACAATTGTCACACATCCCATTACCTCTTATTGGCTGCTGACAAGTCAACCAGTAGCAGAAGCATTGGCATAGTCGTCTCCATATTAAATTTCCAGTAAATTGATTTCTAATTTGCTAGAAAATACAAAATATAGTTCATGGGAAAAAACCCCCCATCAACATAAAAGTCACTAGAAAAGCTAAAAACGCCACGCCCAAACTATTATTTCTTTCCTCAGGTGACTCTGCTGACTTTCCACTTACTTTCCAGAATTCCAATGTTTTTTCCATTAAAGGGAAGGAAGGGAAAAATACTAAGAGTCCGTGAGGAACCACACGGCTCAGGTTAGCTGAGGAGAGAACACAAGTTACAAATATATGTGAGTATAACTTACAAATATATATCACAATCAAAACAAAAGATTTCACACTCCATATACAATCCAACATGGTAGCACTTCCTATGATAGCTCAGCAGTAATGTGGTAATAACGAGACATTAAAAGCCAAAAATGTAATAATATGGAAATAGCAAATTACTACAACTTAATCACCGGAATAATATCTAAGCAGTTTTTATTTTTTACCTCGTATCAACATTGGTTATAGGCGAGTTGTGGTAACGGGCCAAAATTGGGTGTAATAACATAGAAAAACGTATGCCTATAAGGCAAAACCAATTAGTTACAGTAATATACTGGCAATATGATATATATCATATATGACATATACCTGCTAATAATAATCTTCCTATATCTGTGCATCTGAATATGTATATACTGGCCCCTCACATTAACCTTATAATAACAAAGCAATAGTAACTAATGGTTAAAAAGTAGGATACTCTGTATTATAATGCTGGATTTTAATCCTGCCTTGTGTTAACAACCTTACTCTTTGTTTAAAGGTAACAATGTAAATATTATTTAATGTGTCGTATTAGTACACCATTAAACAATCTGCACAATCTGTGTGTATACTTCCTATAATTAAAAAACAGAACAGAAGAAAAACATGTCTGTGTGTTAAATATAAATGTTATAATCATGTTATGGTTATTTTTTATTACATCACTGGCAAATAAATTTATGGACAGTCCTAAAACATTAATCCTGTTCATACAGATGTATTGTTGTCAGCAGTAGAGACATTTCGTCACTCTACCAGGTGACTGTCTCAGCTCAGGTTTCCCCAACCTTATAAACAGTACATTTGCATAATGACTGAAACCAGCAGCACTGAGGAACAATGAGCGGTCATGATTGTCTTGACCACTGATCAACAACCAACGACCAAATTAACACGAGCACCATCATTAAAATAGTGATAAAAACAATCGCACACTTGTCTTCAATACTTTTGGCAATATAGTGTAGAAATAGTAATATGTTATATGTCACAGCATCAGCCAGTATTAGTAGTATTATTAAGTCTAATCAATATATTGCTATTCTTATCAGTCATTAGTTTTGCTTCATAGGCACAGGTACAAGAGTACCTTCTGTTTCTACCTTATGACCCAGTTATTGCCAAGCTGTAGTAAAAAGTGCTACTCTTAAACACAATATCAAAAAGGTAATAAGCAATATGACATCACCATGAACAACAGAGCTAAAAGTTAACAATGTTGGTGATGTTAGCACAATCAAACGATTTCCATGCTGTATACTGTGATCTTACCAATGGTGTTGCCTAAAGACGCCATGTTTTCAGGAACAAACCTGCCACACAAATTTACAGTTTGAGTTTAGCACTCAAGTAACAACTTCAAAGTCAGAACCAGTAAAATATATATGAGGTAACATATAAAAAAGGAGCTCTTCCTTCCCACTCTCACCAACTGCTACTGCTAAGGGATTGTCTGTGTCATACAAATAAGGCAGATCAGGCAGCAGGACACCGGCCCTCGAGGCCTGGAGTTCCCCAGCCCTGTTTTAGAGCATCATTGTTTACTGAGCCACAACAGCTCTTATCTCCTAGTGACACATCCTCCATGAATTGAAAAGTGTATGGGTGCCTCTGAGGGACATCTCTCTAACACATTACACCCCCTGTTTTAGCCCTCTAAAGCCTAGCCTGTCGCTGATATCAGACAGGTTTTTCAACATCTGTAACTCCCATCTGTTCAATTGAAAGACTTCGTGGTTCCTGAAAGCAGCGATACAGTGATATTTGGGTCATAACGTTAAACCCAGGCACAGTGCTGCAGCAGTCCCAAAAGACTGGTTGGTTGAGAGAAGAGAGAGGGAGTGAGTGTGATGAAGCTCTACAGAAAACTGACATTTTATTGGGCATCTGGGTTCTTTTTTTTACCGTTTTGCTGTTTGTTGTTTTCTGTGTTGTTTGCTGAGATTTAGATGTGGTGCCCTGCCTGGGATTACCATAATGACCCTAATATAACTGAAAAAGGTGATACTTTCAGAAACTGCTGGAATTTTTTGATTGCCCCATTGTTTTAAGAGTTATGGTAATTTGATCTAAAAGTCTGACCTAAACCCTACAGGAGCGCTCCCACTGGTTTTAAGGGGTTAACAAATCAGGGTTTTTTTTAATTTAAAACAAACAAACAAACAAACAAACAAAAACTGTCTAACGTCTTACAAATGAATCAGCACTATATTGAAAGGTTTTTCATAATAAGATAACAGTTTCCAGTTACAAAATTTCGATTTAACCAAGAGTTACTTAAACTCTTATCAACCAAACACGTTCTATGGAACAGGAAATAAGGTTGGATTTTTTTCCTAGGATTTTTCATACATCTCCCTGACCCGGTTCACTATAAGTGTTATGTATCTCTTTATTATGTATCCTGCTGCGACACTGATCTTTCCTTCTTGTGAATGTGGATCTAATAGCTCAATGCCACTGACAGCCTTTATTGTCGTTGTAGGACTCATCTTCCTGCAAGGACAACCTGTTGTCCAACCACAGACAGCAAGCTTGTTTCTGTTTTTCCTCAATTCCCATTTCTCTTGTACTCCCTTCATTTTTTGTGTGTATCCTGAAATATCTTAGCTACTCATGCGTTTCCAGAATGCTTTCTAGCTTCCAGGTATCCCTCTTGTATATCCTAACCATAAATCTGGTAGTTGGGTTTTTTTATTATTATTATTATTATTATAGTAGTGTTTCCTTGCTAGCATTCTAGAATTACAACAAAAGGATCTCCTTTGTGCTGGTGTGACTGCCTTAGCAGCTTCTTTTTTTGTTTGCATTGTCACCTTGTCCATTGGACTGGTTGTGACCAAGGCTTGAACTTACAAACACTTTGATTCCCTCAAAAGCTTTAAACTCATCACTGGTGTTCTGATATACTGAACACTGTAGTGTTCTGTCAGGACAAGAAAGCCAAAGTGGTGCTTTCTTCATCAAATCTAAAAATAAACATAAAGTAAAACGTACCAAAGTATGTGAAAAATTAATAATGTTAATAATGTTAATAATGCCTTTAATACATTAGTAAGGAAAGCTGTAACTATGATGGAGAAAAGAGACAGCAGTTCTGACCATGTCTGGTTTAATGTAAAAGGCAAGTTGAACAGGTGAAGGCTCAGCAGCACTTTCAGATTTGCATCTATGAGAATGTCTGAATAAGTAATAAGTTTAACCTGCTGTTCTGTTTTCTTGCTAATTTTTATTTTGATCATGTATATGTATATACAAAAGTTCATTTAGCAAAGATTCAGTTAGATATCAAAAAGAAGTTGAAGAAATGCAAACTTATTTAATCCCACCACTTAATTAAGGTGAAACCAGTGAACAGTAGAAGTAATGTCCAGTCTAATACCTGCGTTGCCTTGTTTAGTATTGCAATACTTATTGATACTTTGGAATGAATATATCTTATGTGAGCTCTCCAGTTAAGTCTTTGATCTATTATTACCCCAAGAAATCCATTTTCATTGACTCTTTCAATATCAACAGCATTTATTTGAAGCTTAACATTTGTAGTTAACCTGCTATTTCCAAATAACATATTTTTAGTTTTATTCAAATTTAATGACAATTTGTTTTTATCAAGCCAAAGCTTCGATTTAATTATTTCATTAGTTATCTCATCGAATAAATGCTGCAGTTGCAAGTTAGTCTGGATCCATGTACTTAAATGGTCTCAGTTCCAATTGATCATATTCTGCAATTGTCTGACTGATGCAACTGGTTTTTTTTTCCAGATGTAGCCGAGTTGTTTATTTCAGTGTGTTTCAGTGAGTGTGTTTTCATTTTTGGTAATATAGTAGAAACAAAGTAGATAATCTGGAATCTCATGTCTTGTGAACACTGATTTTATTGCTACTATGACTCTTCCACTTTATGTGCTTAGCTTAATAATCTCTGAATAGCTCTATATAAGAATCAGCTTATTTACAGTTTACCTCTAATGCACAACAGTTTGATTGTTGGAGTGTTCATTCTAATATCAAGTGCCTTAAGAAGACAGTTTTCCTGAACTAGTGTTATATAAAAGTGAGTTGAAGTCTTCCACACACACAGCAGGATTTTACTTGACTTTCTAATAAATCAAAAGATGAGAAAAAATATGGTTTGACAACTTTTCCCCAGAGGTCAGAGACTACCATGAGCTAAATGAGTTTTGCCATGCACCTTCATTTGTATTTAGGCACATGGCAAAACTTGACCGACCTGTTAGAAAGTAATCATACGCTAAAAAAGAATACCGACCTCCGATCAAACGCTGAACTTAGGTGCGCTCCATCAGGCCCTTGTGCAATGATGCTCACAAAGATCTGGTCCCGCTCAATCACATGGTTGTTCTCCAGACGTACTGGGAATTCTCTGTAACAGCAGGAGCAGAAACTCACTGGCATATAGAGATGTATTACAGTAAACATATTTGGCCCAGATACATGCATAACACTGTTTCATTAGGGGCTGCACTGACAATCAAGTGAATACACTAAAGTTACGAGTTATTAAATCCACCTACGGTGTCAATTTAAAAGTCATACACCAGCCGCTTCATAATTTATCACATTCACAAACCTGTGTGTCCACACCACCCACCTGCCAGGTTGGGGGACAATCACACCCTTAAGGGGTAAAAACTGCCTGAAACCTCTGAACAGTTAATGCAATCGTTTGGACCAGGGCTGCCCAATCCCAGTCCTCAAGAGCTACTATCCTGCAGCTTTTAGATGCATCCCTACTCCAACACAGCTGAATCAAATGGTTTGATTACCTCTTCAGCATGCCATCATGTTTGGCAAAGGCCTGATAACAAGCCATTCATTTGATTCGGGTGTGTGGGAACAAGGATGCATCTAAAAGCTGCAGGACAGTAGCTCTCGAGGACCGGGATTGGGCACCCCTGGTTTGGACAGTCTGACTGTTTAATTTAAAATCCAGGTGTGGTTACAACATTTTCAAAACACATTAACTTTCCAAAAACCTATATGTTACATGTTTTAGATGTAATTCATCAGCAGGTGCTATGCTGCCTTTGGATGCTAACAAGTAAACACAGGTCTGTCTAATGTCAGAGTCATTCTTAATTATTGACAGATAAATGCAACATAATGTATCAGCATTCCTGGTTTATCCATGTTAAAGACCACTTTTTATGCTGATACTTCTGGCTTTAAAACGAATCATTAACTTTCATGGTGAGTTACAAAAATCACCAAAGATTTACATTTTAAGAACAGTTCACTCTGGACAGTGTTCAGCCTAAACAGGTATAAAGGCCATTGTGTTTTTGTTTTATTTTAATGAGCTGCTACTCAGGTGGGAAAAATTTAACTGTGCAGTCAGAGTGACAGCTAACTTACATTCTCATCTCAGATGTGAAAGACGACAGGGGAGAGAGGGTACCACTGGTCAGAATGATGCAGCGAACGCCTTGATTCACCAGATCTTGCATACTGAAGCCCGGAGAGAAGCACCAGTAACTCAGAATATTGCCTGCAATATGCAGAGAAACAAATCACATTTACTTACAGTACAAATAGTTCATACACTCATAACAGGGTTCACATTCTGACCTAAATGTAAAAAGAAAATATCATGATATTACATTCAGTTCATGTGACTCCATGTAACCCACCAACGCATCACGCTGTGCATCGTTACCTTGTTTTTTTGATGAAGATGAAGCCCACACGTCAACACTCTGTTTCTTTTTGTGAACGCTGGTGTCCCGATGGATATGAACCTGAGCCAAACACATGACACAAGCTCATCATTAGTCATTTCATTTCAAGAAAAAAAAAAAAAAAAAGAAGAAATTAAACATTTAAGATGCCGAAACAATGGTTACAGTTTCAGTTACTTCTCTATCAAGTGTGGCAAAGATATGTTAGCTGGTTCCAATATGAACACAACTGTACAAAAACACACCTTAAAATGAGCCGTGTTGGTCTCCATCTGGTGCTGTCTGTCCTTTTCTGACGGTTCACCACAAAATACCAGCTGAAAACACCAGAACAGAGGGGATCGCTCAAACACGCCACGAGGTGATTAAATAATTACTCTTTATGCAATAAATAGTAATAAAGTCTATCATTTTGTTGAATGATCTCAATCACACAAATATTATGGGACCAATCCAAAAACCCAAACAAAGAAGCAGTTTGACAGCTTAATATCCATACAAAGTGTACCTGTATGATATCAGACAGCTTCTGGAGTCCACTTGTATTGAGGAATATTCCGGGCTCTGGTGAGAAACATGCATCAAACAGGTCACTTGTTACTTAGTAGCACTAAGATGATCTGTATAATACACCCAGCAAATGTTACAGATGATAAATGAAGTGATAATGTGTCCTACGTCCTGCCAGGTATCCACTGATCTGCTCCAGAGCTTCATAGACTGCCGTCTTGTTGCTGTAGGTCAGATGAGCTCTTTCTAACACCTCATAGATGAAACTAAGACACAACAGAGAGACATGCAGTGCAGGTTTATTATAACAGTTAACATTCAGAATCATTCTCTGACCACCTAAGGAAGAACCCCACTAGGGTTTATGTCACGGTAGTCTAAGGACTATCCACACAGTCTCTGACCACTTTCTTCTTCTTGTTTTATTTTAAATACATGACTCCAACCACAGATTTGTCACAGTGTCACCACACTACCCTAAAATACTTTGGGAACATTTGTGTCAGTTTCCTGCAATAAAGTATGACAATATAAGTAAAACTGATCTCAGACTCAGAGCTTGTTGTTGTTCTGCTGTGTGTCCATTTTAACAGCGGTTAAATTGACTAAGGTACATTTTTTAAAAAATGTTTTTTGTATGCAGTTAACACTGATTCACACAAAACATTATAGACAATTATTTCAAATATGGATGTAAAAGAAAAGCATTTTTCATGCTGCTAAAAATCAAATGTGATATCTCAGTTTTTCCTTCTGCACAACAATGTTGTACATTGTGTATATAACATGTAGGATGTCACCAATGTTCAATTTGTCTTAATCACTCTATAAATTCCACTTATAATCCAATAGATATGATCATTATATATAAGAACCAATGTATCTATAATAATAGTTATAATCAGGTGTTTTTCTTGAGGCCACATTGTTTTAGCCTTTTTTTAAAAGACTAATTTTGGCATTTTTCTTTTGTTTGATACATGCAGTACATAGGAGGCGGAGCCGAGTGAGGCAGGGGTCAAGGCGTGAACTCGTACGTGTCACTTATGATTTCTGATTGAGTTTGCATATAACCTTTGGGTTAGAGAGGAAATGCACGTGCTAAATGTCAGGAAGTTCTCAGGGCATTCCCATGAATGAAAATTGGATGTAGACAGCCTTTAAACATAACAGACATCATACGAAGCACAAACGCACAAATCTATGCATAAAACACACACGAGCGATACGACACACCAACCTGTGACGTGTGTTTTCTTACCTGAACCATACTCTATGGAACAGAACCGACTCAGACGTGTGTGGAAATAAATGTCGACAGTCTGTTTTGGAAAAATGACGAATTGACGCCTTTAAAATAAAATTTACTCTCATCCTGGTCAGATGTCATCACTTAAAGTCTTGTTTCTTGCCCTCATCCTACTGATGTTTTACACTGACTGCACTTCAAGTCTGGCTTTGTTGCCTTAGAAGCTTTCTCTCTTACATTGTCTGCTTTTTCCACATGACCTTAACGGCATTCAGGGAACCAACAAAATAAACATGAACAGATACATGTTCTTATCTGTTCTGTAAGGATGTGTGTATCTTAGTGAAGCTAAAACGCAAACATTTTAATGCCATCATATTTCAAACCTGCATTGTTGAAGGTGGAAAAGCTTTGACAATATTTATTATTTTCTTGGACAAGCTCTCATCAAGTGTGCTTTGAGATTTATTTATTCATTTTCATATGTTTGGAACAACTGTATAATCAGTTTATTAATGGGCAACCCATACGCTCTTATTTTGAAAGCCTGCTCAGCACTGCTGTCACCTACATTCCAGGTTTAGTAATGCCTTTATCACTTGGAACATCATAGGAATCAATGGCAGCTTCCAGATCCAGTAGTATCTCTGTTAAAGCAAAAAACAAGTTTAGAAAAAGACCTCCAATCACCAACCAACAGGACGACCGACTCCACAATACTTACGTTTGATTTTAGCGATGGTGGACAAATCTAACTTTAAACCTGAAACAAAACAAAAGACAAAATATCAAAAGACCTGCAGCTGACAACCTTTTACTTGCTTTACTAAAGAATAAACTAAAATTACTAGTAATAATGAAACTAAGGCCAAGGCAAAACTAAGGCTAGTAAAGTAGAAGTAAATCCAAACTTTTAAAGTATACAAGTAGCCCAAAGTACCATGACATTCATAAACAACTATACACTCTAAGTATTAGATGGAAAACTCTGTTAGGAACATGTGTATAAGCGAAGGTTTTCTTACCAGAGCTGAGGGATTCCACGTTGACGTCTTCACTCACAGAGTCTTTGTGGCTGATTTCTTTAGCCTGCTCCACAAGCAGCCTGTCCACAGCATTGATGGCCGAGGCTACATCATAGGGAGTCAGATCAAACGAGGTTGATTCTTCACATGTCTTCTCCTGCAAACAAAAAGGACATCAGATCAGGTGGGATAGTATCAACAAAAGTAATTATCAGCATAATTCAAATAACAAATATTCATTTTAAACATTATTATAAGTCTGTGCAACCAATGTTTTTGTAAATAGTAACTTTATTTATATAGAACCTCTAAACCCGGTGAATGAAATGAAAATGGTGTGTAGTTACTACATGTCAAAGAATGATAGTACAGGTAATGTAAATGTAGAGTTTGTCTGAGAATGTTGTGTCCACAAAAACATAGATTTTAGTGGAGCAAACTGGCATTAGACCATCACAACCAACGAGTCCTTTGTCTCAAGTTACATTTGTTGCATTAAGCTGAATGAGATTTTGTCAGGAAAAGTGGCCATCGTGTAATAAATAGATGAAAATAACAGGATGAGCATGTTCCAGAACAGTGTTCACATTAATAATCATAACAAATTAGCTTTAATCAAGAATGACATATGCTTAGATTGTTGCTTTGCAAAAATCCCAAATATGTTGTTTAGCTCTCTACCACTGAAATGATTGACCAAAAAAATATTATAACATTGGCAGGCACCAGTGCTACACCTCAGCATCAGGGTAAGTAGGATTTTCAGAAAGCGTGACCTCTGACCTTGACCCTGAGTTCATGGTCACATATTTATCACATTCTTCAATGATGAATCATGCCTTAAATATGCAGCACCTTGCATTGTGCATTAACTGTAAATTTAAATGTAATAAGAAAATGTCTCGAGCTTCACATGTGTCGAAACAGATTAGCCAATTACTAGAGTTTGCTGCTCAGAGGATGTGTCACCAAGTTGGGAAAAACAACTAGAGACATAGACAGGTGTGGTGGTGTACCGGGGCCTCGGTTTAGGACTACGCTTCCTGCTGACTGTCACCCAGCTGTCCCGTTTTCCCGGCTGCTTGGGACAATATGCTGGGTGAAAGCTAACGGTGGCTATGCTAGCTTTGGCTGCACCTGCTACATGGGCCTGGCTAGATACAGGTGAACCCGGGACTCCAGAGCTGTAAACAGGCTACATTTATTACAAGTATCGTTATTACTAAAGAGGGCCGAGGAGTAACTAAAGCTCTGACATACTGAGCAGGAATGTGGAGGAGGGACAGGTGAAGAGGCCGTGCTGCTAGAGAGTCGGCTACAATCGAAGTGAGCAAATTCCTAAAGATACAGTGAATGAATACTGTGAGTATAATTAGTGGGTGAATCAAAAGAGAGTGTGCTTTGGTGACAGAATGTGAAGATTACACTGTGAAATCTCCAAGTTATATACATGGCATGATGATACAGGAGAATATATGCTTTGACAGGTTTTTCAGGTCATAGAAGAAAATACTTGTTCATTTGCAAAATACTCGAGATCTACTGCGATCTATAAATTATAATGCACAGTAATGACATGGGATGTAGTAAAAATCATACATTTTCTGAAGATATTAGTTCAATATCTGGTTTTCAAAGGAAACATTGGTTTTAATATGTCCTCATGGTTTGAGTAGACCAGCCCCTCTGATTTCAAATTAGGCCCGATGTGGCCTGCAAGTTAACATGAATTTGAAACCCTCTAGTGTAGACCATCCCCGTTTAGTAGTGGGTCACTTGTGGTCTTTGAAGCTTTTATATACAACAATGCCAATTTTTAGTGAATACATTTAACAGGGGAAACCAGATATAACCTTACCACATTGTGAGCTTCGTCAAAGATAACCACCGCTCCATTCAGGTCGATATTGTGTGCCTTGCGGCTCTGTGGAATGAGAGAGGGAGGGAGAGGCAGTTGAATATTAGCATTCATAGAGATTAGAAATGACAGTGCCAATCACAACACTAAAGTCTCTGTTGATGCTCATTTATGGTCACATATGTCAGCCTCAGATGTAATGTGTATGACAGAGCTTACCTTTGGATCTAGCAAGTAGTTGTATGGCATAAAAATGACATCTGCTTGTTGTTTCAGTGAACGGGAGAGATAGTAAGGACAGACTCTGTGGAAAAATTTGCAAATGCGAAATCAAATACGTGAACTTTACAGAAAAACTGACTCATTCTGATAGCTGTTTAAAGAGATAACATAGTACAAAAGGTATAGTTTCCATCCACTAGCCTGTGACCACGTAGCCCAGCAGTTACTGAGTTTCAGTGGTTCTTGGACGAGTTGCTGCACTGTTAGGGGAGGTGGTTGTTAAGACTTTTAAGATTTATTGCTCAGATGACTGTTGCATTTTGACTCAGAATTTGAAGGGTTAAAAAGACATTAAAATGAAAAAAAAAAACATCATGCTTCTGGTACTGTTTCTTGGTAGTGAAGTTTCAGGACAACTACTGACAGAAAGTCAAAAAGCATCCTTCAAATGATAATGGCTCATTTGTGATAAGGCCCTTTCATTCATTTCAAATCTGCTCCAGTTGTTACTTTAGCCCTTCTCCATTTTCTATTTTAGCACTTTTCTATTTTCTTGTGCTCCTACCTGATGTTGCTGTCCCCTCTATCACAGCTGCGGTTTTCTGTTACTTGAAAGACCCACAGGACACAGGCCCAATTTTTCTCAACCACCTTTGGTGTTGTCTCCCATCAGGACCTGGGGACTTCTAGTACACATGCAGCACAGATGTTCCTGTATCCCACTCACTTGATCGTCCTTCTCAGTGTAGCCTGCCCTAGTTTGCATCTTACATCCCGCTACTATGCGCTGGATAGTCTCCGGGGAACCTTTGCACAGTCTGCAACTTGGGTCCTGTCCGTTAAGGACTCTGCTGTCCTTTAACCTGGCCTTTTCTAGCTAACATGTTGATATGTTGATGGTACGTCCACTGCAGGGATTGTCCATGATGGTTCCTGATCATGTCTTTGGCATACTTGGAGCAGCTCACCTCGGGTGGCCCATCTTGCTGATGAATTCATGGATGCTCAGTGTTTCATCCTGCATTGTAACTTCGCCTCTTTCTGTTGCCTGTGGTGCTGGGCGTCTGATGGAGATCTCTATACATCGTGAGGAGTTTTCATGTCCTGATATCAGTGGCCCACATATCCTCTAGTGGCCAATTTATTATTTCATAAATCATATTTATTATTTATTATTATTTCACACTCAGGCACTTGTAGATTGTTGATTTGACCACTCCTATTTTAGAGTAATTTGGGTTTTTCAGCATAATAATGTTCTCCTTCACTTCGATATGACTTTGGACCTCATAATGAAAGTTCTACTGAACTGCTACAAAATGCAAATTCAGCACTTGGAATCAACTCTAGATCTATTATCTGATTAATATGTGATGGAATGAGAGAACAGTCCTCACCTGGCCATGAAACTGTCTATCAGTCAGTCATCCGACTACTTTAAACTGCTAAAAATAGAGGACGATGCATTAAAAATGGCTGCAATTCTGAAACAATTAAGACTTAATGTCTGTTAAACCCCACTCACTTTGCAAGTGTACACTTAAATCACATTTTTATTGTTGACTGTGAGAATCTACTGTATGGCACATTTAATAACTGTCTAAATGCTTATGAAGCTAACTGTACACTTCAGTTTTCCCCCCAACCACTCACGAGTATTTTGTAACTAAACAAGAGTATCGAAAAAAATTTTGTGTGTTGTTTTTTTTTTAATATTTTTAATAAATCTGCAATTTTCCTAATTTGCAGAGGTGATGCTACAGTGGACCCTTTGGAAGTCTAGTTCTTGCTGCATGTTTAATATCCCCACTTTAAGTGGATAAGCAGACTCACCCACTCTAATGAAATGCCCATATTTGGTCACATATTTATTGGATCACTTCACTGTTCTGATCAAGACTTCAGCTTTCTAAATTGTGACCATCTGTAGATTACTGACAGATGGATCACAATGGAGGTTTCACACTGGAGAGAGTGCAGTCACAAAGCGCTGTACACAAAAGTTAAAATAAACATACCAATATAGACAATACAAAAGGTTACATGTAAATAAAAATGTATTTTTAAAAAGAATGTTGATCAACAGCAGGCTTGTTTAAACAGAAAAGTTTTTAACTACTTTTTAAATGATTCCACAGATTGAATCAGAAGCAGAAAAATCAAATATTAAGACATTAGTTTGGTGTCACACAGAGACACCCAGCCGCCAATGTTACCAATGATTATTTCTTACCAAAGAAAGAAAGTGCAGTACAGAGACTGAAACAGACAACTACAAAAAAATGAACACATGAACTACAAACCTCTGTTTGGTGCCAAATTGGACCAAATCTTCCACATCGAGGATAGAATTAACCAAATCTCTGTCAGTGCTCTTATCTAGAAGAAGAAGAAAAATCAAGCTTGAGATCTGGTATTTATAGGATACTAAATCACTGAAACATGTGATTAAAACCAGGGCCATCACAGGTGACCCCTTGCATCCCACCCACCACCTGTTTGACCCATTGCCCTCCAGACGATGCCTCAGGTCAGGCAGGTCCTAAACCTTCAGACTCAAACAGATTTTTTCCTAGAAGGACTATAATAAATCAAATACTATGTACAGAAGGCTAGAGTGTAATCAAAATATAAAGTGTAATTAATTATACATACTATTACAATGCTAAAACATTCAGAATGTATGAGTGTCATTATAACTAGCAGCATAACTAACTCCATACCTACTACAAGCTTTATCCAAAATTAAAGTTTGAAGCCTAAATTAAAAACATGTAGAGTTCAGGAGCAGACACACACCAGTCTGTGGCCTGAACTCAAAACAGGAGCTGGTTCACTTCATGTTTATTTATATAGAACCAACAAAAACAGTCACATCAAGGTGCGTCATTCTACGAGGTAAAGCCCTACAATATTTAGGAGAAAAATCACAATAATAAAACAAAATCAAGTGAAGAAACCTTCAGCAGAATCAAGCTCAGAAAGGGAAATCTGCCATGACAGGTTGGGGGATCACGGGAAAGACAAAAAGAGAGGAGAAAACAGAAAACACATGGTGGCTCCTCACCACCATGTGTTTTCAGGTGCCTGACGCACACATGGAGACATCATCTTGATGTATTTGTGGATGCTCGATGTTTACTTTTGAGCTCCGACACTCAATCAGTTGGTGGCATTACCAGGTGAACTTAGCAAACACAGCTCACATTAAAACCTCCAAACATTCATTATGTATTTTAATATTGCACCAAGACCTGGGAAGAGAGGAGGAACAAGACGTGACGCCAAGCTTGGCAGCAAGACGACTGGAACCACAATTGTGGACGTTAAAACGGGTAAAGACTAATCACTGTAAACACAGAAATGCGAACTGAATTGTCTGTATTTCAGTTACACCCCCTGTGGCCCCAATGGGGAAGCTTCCTGGCTCCGTCCTATCACCTCCAGTCACTGAGGGACCGCTGTGGTGACCTACTGACCCTTTTCTTTCTTCTCCCTCTCTCTCCCCATGATTCCGGTGGCGACTGCACCCGATTTACCATGGGTCACTCAGATGTCGGGGCAGGAGTGCTGCAGTTGCACAACCTCCGAGTGTCTGTTAATTGAGATGGGCCATGTGTTCTGTGTCCCCAATTTCTGGAGGGCCATACAGCGTTCCTGTAGGGTACCAGAGGGGTAGATTCCAAACTATGCCACGCGGCAGAGCTCGGCCCATCAAAACCTGGTTTGGACGGGGGCATTGTTGGAGGCAGAGTGGGTGGAGATCAGGTGTGTGAATGGGGATTTTCATAAGTATCCTGTGGTGCAGCTGGAAATTAAATAATAATAATAATAATAATAATAATAATAATGGATTGGATTTATAAAGCACTTTTCAAGGCACCCAAAGCGCTTTACAATGCCACTCTTCATTCATTTGCGCATTCACACACTGGTGGAGGCAGCTACGGATGTAGCCACAGCTGCCCTGGGGCAGACTGACAGAAGCGAGGCTGCCATATCGCGCCATCAGCCCCTCTGGCCAACACCAGTAGGCAGTAGGGTAAAGTGTCTTGCCCAAGGACACAACGACCAGGACAGAGAGCCCAAGGATCAAACCGGCGACCTTCCGGTTACAGATACGCTTCCCAAACCCCTGAGCCACGGTCGCCCCAATACAAGGGCAAAATTAATTTACTAAGGCTGCGGACCAGCAGGGACATGAAGTGTATGCGCTCAGTAGTGAGGTAAGGTCAGACTTCTTGAATGAAACCAGATCCTTGGGATATCATTTTCAGTTATATGGGAGTCACTGAAAGCCTATCTCATTTTCCACAGCAAGAAAAACAGCTGACACAGCGCGATAATAAATAATTATAATAGTCTGTCATCAAAGTAACAAATGCATGGACTAGATTCTCAACATAACAGTTTTTCCCCCTTTTTAAATCAACTGAAAGCAGGCAGTAGATATTTTGTTGATATGCACATTTTGGACATTCCTGGACTCCAAACTTTCTCACAGTAGTGCTTCCTCAGAGGTTGTGCCATACTTTGAGAGTTATTAGTGTCAAATAATATAATATTTAAATTATACATGTAGTCAGTAAAACATAAAAAGGTAACAGGACATGCTTTTCCAGACTGCGTTCTGCTACACGGATACAGTCACTCTGTTAGACCATTACCTTCAACGTTGTTGTAGTAGACACATGACCTGGTGGAAACTTTGGCTCTGCACATATGAACCTGAAAAACAAAAAAATGATTCCACATTAAGACAAACCACTAACCATCTAGCCCTAACCCATTACTTATCTTTTTTTTTTTACCAGCTAGATCGCTGGCAACGTAGTGCAGCAAATTAATGTGTTAAGATAGATAGATTGACCCAGGAAACTTACGAATTTGAAAATAATCAAATCTTTTTCATTACTCAACAGGACTGTCAGAATAAAAATGAAAGAAAAAAAATATTAGCTAATACAAATTAAAGCATTAGAAGTATTTAAACAAAAAAACTGTAAAAATAGGAACCTACTAATGACTTCTGTCCATAAGTTCAAATTAAGTTTCCTGGAATAATCTGCAGAAGGAACTGAAACTGTCAGGAACGGTTACCATGAGGCAGTGTGACTGTTTGTATTGTCGCTCTTAATGATCTGCTATTGTATATTTTTTTCACGTTGGTACTCTGATGGAAATTTCTTTTACCTTAGTGTATTGATCATGTGTTTTACAATAGAATACGTATAGAGATATTAGTTAGAGATAGAAAGGATAGCATCATATGTGTTTCATGCTTTATTCCACACACAGTTATTGTAAGTTAGATGTGGACTGGCACACCCAGGCACCATTAGACACTGGAGAGGAAGAGACCCCTCTCTGACCTTTGGGAGTGAGGGGGCCTCCGGGGGGAGGCCTTGGAAGGTAAATCTTCATGTGACTGTTAAGTAGAAAAACAAGGTTTCATCTCTCTCTCTGTCTGCAGATGATATAACCCTCTCCCCAGCCACCTCCTCCAGCTTATCCAGGGGAACACCAAGGCGTTACCAGGCGAGCCGAGAGATATAATCTCTCCAGCGTGTCCTGGGTCTGCCCCGGGGCCTGGAACACCTCACCCAGGAGGCGACCAGGAGCCATCCTTGTCAGATGCCCGAACCACCTCAACAGGCTCCTTTTGATGTGGAGGAGCAGTGACTCTACTCTGAGCCCCTCCTGGATGGCCGAACTCCTCACCCTATCTCTAAGGGAGAAACCAGCCACCCTTCGGAGGAAGCTCATATCCACGATCTCGTTATTTCAGTCACTACCCACAGCTCATGACGTAGATCAACCAATAAATTGAGAGCTTCACTTTTACACTCAGCTCTCTCTTTACCACAACGGACCGGTGTAGCGTCCACATCACTGCAGCTGCAGCACCAATCCGTCTGTTGATCTCCCTTCCTCCTTCACTTGTGAACAAGACCCTGAGATACTTGAACTCCTCCACTTGGGGCAGGAACTCGTCCCTGACCCGGAGTGGGCACACCACCCATTTCCTTCTGAATAACATGGACTCAGATTTGGAGGTCACCTCATTTGCTTTTTGCAGATGATGTGGTTCTGTTGCCTTCATCAGGTGATCCCTCAAAGCTGATGGAACAATAGATTACAAAATCTGTGCCATTATGAAATGAATGGCACTGATGACTGATATTATATACAACTATGCTAATAGATATTAGAATAGAATTCAACTTTATTGTCATTGCACATGCACAGGTACAGGGCAACGAAATGCAGTTTGCATCCATCCAGAAGTGCTTTAGTGATATAGATATATTACAATATATATTAGCAATAATATAGATATGTAAGTATATTACAGAAATGGGTCTATTATGGTATGTTATAATGTACACGGTATGAAGTATGTTGTGAATATTCTATAACTATAAGTATGTACAGGCTATGGACAGGATATAAATATGAAAAACTATACAGAAATCTGAGATATACAGTTATACAGAAATGGGAACTATGCAAGTTGTAAACAGTTGTAGGGTTAAAAATTATCATATGTACAGAATGATTGTTTACACAGAGCTATACAGTAGTGCAGTCAAGATAAGTGAGGGTGTGGTAAATTTCTACAGAGGCTATATCAAGTGCTAGTGGTTGTGAGTGGTGGTTCAGTCCATGTTATTATTGTGTGTTTGAGGGTACAGTTGTCCATTGTGTGTGTGTGTGTGTGTGTGTGTGTGTGTGTGTGTGTGTGTGTGTTCAGTCCATGAGTTTAACGTGGGTCAGATGTCAGGAGGCAGAGTTCAGGAGTCTGACAGCTGTGGGGAAGAAGCTGTTCCGGTACCTGGTGGTCTTAGTCCGGAGGCTCCTGTAGCGCCTCCCAGAGGGCAGGAGGGTGAAGAGTCCATGTGATGGGTGACTGGGGTCTTTTCCTAGCCCTTTTCAGACACCGCTTCCTGTAGATGTCTTTTATGGCAGGAAGTGGTGCTCCGGCGATGTGCTGGGCAGTTTTCACGACCCTCTGCAACGCATTCCGGTCCGAGGAAGAGCAGTTCCCGTACCAGACTGTTATACAGTTGGTCAGGATGCTCTCGATGGTGCAGCGATAGAAGTTCACCGGATGTCTGAGGACAGGTGGTTCTTCTTCAGAGTCCTCAAGAAGAAGAGGCGCAGGTGAGCCTTCTTGACCAGCTTGGAGCAGTTGATCGTCCAGATGAGATCCTCGGAGATGTGGACTCCCAGGAACTTGAAGCTGCTCACACGCTCCACAGCCGTCCCCTTAATGTGGATGGGTGGATGTGGGTCAGCATTCCTCCTATAGTCCACGATGAGCTCCTTGGTCTTCTCGGTGTAAAGCAGCAGGTTGTTTCTGTCGCACCACTCAGCCAGACGATCCACCTCCTCCCTGTAGGCGGCCTCATCGTTGTCACTGATGAGGCCAATCACCATGGTGTCATCTGCAAACTTAATGATGGTGTTGGAACCATCAGCAGGTCTGCAGTCGTGGGTGAAGAGGGAGTAGAGGAAAGGGCTCATCACGCAGCCTTGTGGTACACCGGTGTTCATCGTGATTGTAGATGAGCAGCGGTTATCCAGCCGGACATGTTGGGGGCGATTGGTCAGGAAGTCCAGTAACCATTTGCAGATGAGGGAACTGATGCCAAGGTCTGTCAGTTTCCTGATGAGTTGTGAGGGGTGGATTGTATTGAATGCTGAACTGAAGTCTATAAACAGCATTCTGGCGTATGTGTTGTTGTTGTCCAGGTGTGAGAGGACAGAGTGCAGTGCGATGGAGACTGCATCCTCTGTGCTCCTGTTCTGGCGGTATGCGAATTGGTGGGGGTCCAGGGTGGGGGGGAGACAGGATTTGAAGTGTGCTAGGACCAGCTGCTCTAAGCACTTAGTGATGATGGGGGTGAGTGCTACTGGGCGGTAGTCATTGAGGCAAGATGGGTTGGAGTTTTTGGGTATCGGGACGATGGAGGTGGATTTGAAGCAGGCCGGTACCACAGCGTGGGCCAAGGACAGATTGAATATGTCTGTGAGCACTCCTGCAAGCTCCCCAGAACACGCTCTGAGAACACGCCCGGGGATGCCATCAGGGCCTGCAGCCTTGTGGACATTGATCCTGCTCAGCACCGCTTCTACATCGGTGGGGGAGAGAGTCAGAGGTTGGTGGTCTGACTCTCTCCCCCACCGATGTAGGAGCGGTGCTGAGCAGGATCAATGTCCACAAGGCTGGACATTGATAATAGATATGATTGGAATCATATCTATTATTATACCCATCTTTATACTTACATTTTCCCCTCTTTTTTGTGTGGGGCAAGTGTATTCAGCCATCTGAGGGGGAGTGGGGGTAATGATGAATATGGTGAATAGAATGTTGATAATGGGGTTGGACTTGATGATGAGTGGGTATTTTTATGTCATTTTGATTTTGTTTATGCATGTATCTGTGTGTATGTGTATATATTGTTTTGGTTGTTTTATATGTCCAAAATAAAAGTTCATCATCATCATCTTCTATTCTGGATTCATGATGCTAAACTGAAGAGATCCAACAATGAGTTTGAACAAAGAAACTATTTTTCAGTTTTCCTGCAACAGTGACAACAAAGCTTATCTACAGATTATCTAAAGTTGCTGTTGAGATGGTCGTTGATTTCATTGAGCAGCCTCAGATATAATGCAACTCCACCGTCTTGAACTAGAGCTGGTGATAGTAGCACCTCTGTTCTTGAGATCTACTGCACACTGGCCCACACCAACCAGACCCTGCAGCAGATGGAGAACTGGTTTATGTAATGCTATAGTTTTAGGCCGCTGAGCAGAACAAGAGTGAAGCTACTGTTCTGAGCGTAAGTCCAATAGAGTAGAGTTGGTACAACTGATGTTTGGTCTTTGTGAGTCTGTCAAAAGTAGATATTTTTTGGTAAATCAGTAGTGAGGTTGCAAACATTCAGTGTTTTGTGTTTAATACAATTCATTGGACATAACAATTAAAACATCCCATTATATTTATATCTTTAAAACTGCATTTATAACTTACTTTGACGTGGTTGCTCTCCTGACGCATGACTTCCTGGTTAATACACAACTGCTCTCTTGAGCCCAGCACACACACCTTTGGCCTGAATCAACAGAGACATTGGAGAACTGAATTACCATAAATAGTCAACAAAACCAGAACAGACAAGAGGTGCTGGACTCAGTAAGGCCTCAAAATGATTGTAGCATATGTAATAACCCTTTAAAGCCCCACTAATATTTGGTCAAATGCCACTTAGCAAGTTGCACCTTGATCATACACTTTTAGTAGCTTTCAACAAGCTTCAGGATAATTTTGTAACTTTGTGCAATGTACAATTTAAATGGATTTGGGTTTCGACCCATCTATGTAGGTAGCTGAAAATTGCAGATGAGCTTGAAAATGCTGATTTAAGAGCATATTGGTTGACAGCCTCAGTGCATGGTAATGTAAAAGTCGCTTCACTGAACAGTGAAGCTGATGCTGTAGAAGTTTCCAGGTTATGGTAGGCTCCAGCTTTTGTGGTTCCTGGGTTGTCCATCCTAACCAAGTTTCCTCTCATCGGAGGGTAACCGTTTTAACAGGGTCTTGCCAGCAGTGACAAATAACTTACTTATGTACAATTGTTTCAAGAACTGATGACCTTGAAATTTGCAGCTGTTTTGAATTCCTCCCCAAATTGTATAAAATAAAACTGTTTTATATTGTGAACAGCTCTAATTCAGACAATCATGCATAATCAAAAACTTATATCCAGTAGTTTTTAGAAATGCTTACCTGTATGAAGTGTTCTTTAATTCACTAATAACTTGTGCAAGCTGAGAATGTGTCCTCGATGCGTATACAATCTTGGGGACATCAGTGTAGTAAGCTTGAGAACAAGAAGAAAAGACAATTAGGGCTTTATACACTGCTGAAAAAACCTAATAGAACACCTATTAACATCGTATAGCATCAAGTCAAACTTCTGGGATATTAGGCATCATTTACTAACAGTGTGTATGCACAAATCGTGTGTATGAACATTTCACGCACTGATCTGATTTATCAGTATTTTCGTTTCTGAATTTCTTCATCCTACTGGGCAACGAGACCTGCAGGGGTGTTGCTGGAACAGCCTGCCGCATCTGAACTTAGACAGCATTTCGAGGAGACTGGGGACATTCAGTCCGAGTGGACCATGTTCAGCACCTCCATTGCGTTTAAATATTAAGAATATTTAAATGTCATGTCCTTGAGAAATGGGAAAGAAATCCATCAAAGACCTAGTACAGGACACAGCAGAACTGCATCTGGCCCTTCAGCTGTTCTATCAACTATTCATCAGAAGTGTCAATGATTAAACCATTAATTAAAACGCCATCACTTAACCCAGAGGTCTTAGCTAATTATGAGCCAATCTCTAACTTTCCTTTTATCTAAAACAAACAAACAAAAAAAACAAATAAAAAAACCAAACCAAAACAAACAATATTAGTGGTAAAACAGCTACCTGATCATCTGCAGAGGAATAGTTTATTTGAAGACTTTCAGTCAAATTTCTAAACTCATCACAGTACAACAATCACATTAGTGAAGGTTACAAATTATCTTCTTATGGCCTCTGACAGTGGACTCATCTCTGTGCTTGTCCTGCTAGACCTCAGTGCAGCGTTCGATACTGTCGACCATAATATCCTATTAGAGTGATTAGAGCACGCTGTAGGTATTACAGGTACTGTGCTGCAGTGGTTTATATCATATCTATTTAATAGACTCCAATTTGTGCATGTAAATGGAGAGTCTTCTTCACAAGCTGAGGTTAAGTATGGTGTTCCACAGGGTTCAGTGCTAGGACCAATTCTGTTCACATTATACATGCTTCCCTTAGGCAGTATCATTAGAAGGCATAGCATACATCTTCACTGCTATACCCAACTCTATCTCTCCGTGAAGCCAGATAACTATAGCGTTATTTTTGTGCCACTATTCTGAGTGCATGTAAAAAATATTTGCAGGTGCAAGTGTTGCATTTTGAGGAGAAATTTATTTTGAGCGAAGAAAAGCTAAATTTGAGTGAACAAAATTCATTGCTGCGTGCAAAAACTGTATTTCAGTGTTTGCTATTATCCACACACACACACACACACACACACACACACACACACACACTAGCAGCCCCTCTCGCTCAGTTTTTGCATTTGCGCTCGCTCTCAACGTGTTGCTCGCGCTCTCAACGTGTTGCTCGCGCTCTCAACATTTCTGCCCGTGCGCGCTCAGCTCTTTCTGTACACCGTTATATTTGTGCCACACAACCAGCCAATCTCAGACTTGGATGCAAAAAAAAATCTGACTGGCTGTTCTGGTCTCCAATCAGCTCGAAATGACGAAATGCAATATCCCAGAATCCATTTCGTCCAAAACTCAAACGAGGCAGTGGCGGAGGAACACAGAGTGGTGGAGTTTGAAATATTATTCTTACTGGGTCACAAAATAAACTTTTAAGATATTTTCATGCGAGAATGGTGCTGTGTAAACGTCAAATATCTGCTCAATTTATCAAGACATCACATATTTGCATAAGTGCTCTAATGTTTTCTGAGATGCCTGTTACCCACCAGCTGACCGGGTGGTCACTCGGGTTAAATGTAATATATAAGGCTGAACTGACAAAAATAAAAATAAAAAAATAAATCACAGACTACACCACCAGGTATTACAGGAAAAACCATAAAGCCTTTGAACTAAAACAAACGCTGTTGTGACAGTGATGTACACTGTCTTGTTGGTATATATGTATTTGTTTCCCTCTCACCACATATCCAAACCGATATCATGAGCAGCAGCTTTAACAGCTGTGGCTCCAGCAAACATCAGCTGATCCTAGAAAGTAATATAAAATAAATTCTAACAGCTTATCAAGCTTGAACGTGCTACTGTTGTTTAGCGCGACATCCGCTGATTTCGTCTTTCTGGCGCAAAGTGGGCGATAAATAAACAAGAGAGACGATCAGCTGATCATTAAGCAGTTTCATGATTGAAGTAGCAACAGGAGAGAGAGGGGAGAGAATGAGAGAAGAAGAAGCAGCTGACAGCGTAAAGACAGAATAACTCCAGCTTTGTGTCTTTTTCATTCTCGCTGAAGTACGTGACAAATCACGTTCCTTTTCCCCTCAATACAGATGTATTGTAATTGGTCCAGCCCAGAGCTGATCATGACCAATTGGCTAATCCACCACCTTTCATTGTTTATACCATTAGAAAAACAAACAAACAAACATAAAAATGAAAAATCACCATCGGCCCACCGCCAAATGTCCAGTATGCCCAATGGCCAGTCCAGCTATGCGATCAGCTGGTGGGTAACAGGCATCTCAGAAAACGTTAACTTATGCAAATATGTGATGTCTTGATAAATCAAGCAGATATTTGAAGTTTACACAGCATCATTCTCGCATGAAAATATCTTAAAAGTTTATTTTGTGACCCAGACAGAGTAATATTTCAAACTCCACCACGCTGTGTTCCTCCGCCACTGCCTCGTTTGATTTTTGGACGAAATGGATTCTGGGATATTGCATTTCATCATTTTGAGCTGATTGGAGACCAAAACAGCCAATCAGATTTTTTTGCATCCAAGTCTGTGATTGGCTGGTTTTGTGGCACAAATATAACGGTGTACAGAAAGAGTTGAACGCGCACAGGCAGAAATGTTGAGAGCGCGAGCAACACATTGCGAGCGAGCGCAAATGCAAAAACTGAGCGAGAGGGGCTGCTATTGTGTGTGTGTGTGCGGATAAATGCAACACTTGCACCTGCAATTTTTTTTTTACGTGCGCTCAGAATAGTGGCACAAAAATAACGCCACAGATAACACACACCAATTAGTTAACCTCTTGACCTCTAACTTTCTGCTTCTAAATTCAGATCAAATAGAGTTCAGTGTACTCAGCTCTGAAAATATGGTGTCTAACCAGATGCCATTATCTTCTTCTCCGGTAACACTGAGGAATCTTGGAGTCATTTTTGAACAAGATATGTACTTCAATTGGCAGATTAAACAAATATATTTCAGGATGCAGGATGTGGGAGAAAGAGATGGATAGGCTGTTATTTAGGAAGTTGCTGTGTGTGCCAAAGATGGGCCAATAAACTACCCTTGTTCTCTGTTAAGTCAGAGTGCTGTCTGCTGTTATCCTCACCAGACCTCTCTGCGTAACTGTGGTGTCAGAAGTGAATTAAAGAGGAAAACACACTAAATGAGAGCAGTAAGATGTGGAAAAACCCGTGGGACAAGGAAAAGTTCCCTTCCTGACATTGAAGAAAGAGAAGGTGGAAAAACATATAAGCTAGATCCACCAACAGAAGGAGCGATGGCTGACGAGGATGATTTTGAGCCAGTGGTAAAGAACTTTCTGAACCTGATATCTTTGATGAAATTAGAGAATTCATTCAATGACCAAAAGAACAAAAACAATACTGCTTGAACAGATTAAACAGCTGAGCAATAACATACCAAAGCTGCAACATGATGTCTATTCTGAACTTCTCTATCGACCTTCTGTCCAGAGTGACATTTTTACAACAGCTGCCTCAGCTATCAGCTGTGCAGCCACCTCATGGAGCCACTGAGCACCAAGCTGAGCTCCCTCCTCCATCTCAACCACTCCGTGCACAGCCTCAACAAGAATACCAGACTTTAAGGAAGGTGAGCATCCTGAAAGTTTCTTTGTACGATTTGAACGCATAGCTAAAACACAGGGATGGCAAAGCCCTTGAGGCTTATGCTGACATGGATTAACAACAGTCTGACTCTTATGATGCTATTAAAGCTGCAGTGTTATCTAATTTTAATGTGGCAGAGGAGACCTACAAATACCAGTTCCAGAGCACCAGAGGAACTGTGTGTTAGAGAAACCTTCAACTGGATAAAGGGGCTCTATAAGCGATGGACGCGACGTGACAGTCGGAGTAAAGAAGAGATTGCGGAAACCGTCATCTTAGAGCAGTTTCTTCACATGCTTCATCCAGATGTCTGCACATGGGTGAAGGAGAACAATCCAAAGACAGAAGAGGAAGCTGCAAATCTGGCTGAATGTTACCTAGCTCCCTATAGATACAGTGGGGCAAAAAAGTATTTAGTCAGCCACCGATTGTGCAAGTTCCCCCACTTAAAATGATGACAGAGGTCAGTAATTTGCACCAGAGGTACACTTCAACTGTGAGAGACAGAATGTGAAAAAAAGAAAAATCCATGAATCCACATGGTAGGATTTGTAAAGAATTTATTCGTAAATCAGGGTGGAAAATAAGTATTTGGTCAATAACAAAAATACAACTCAATACTTTGTAACATAACCTTTGTTGGCAATAACAGAGGTCAAACGTTTACTATAGGTCTTTACCAGGTTTGCACACACAGTAGCTGGTATTTTGGCCCATTCCTCCATGCAGATCTTCTCGAGAGCAGTGATGTTTTGGGGCTGTCGCCGAGCAACACGGACTTTCAACTCCCGCCACAGATTTTCTATGGGGTTGAGGTCTGGAGACTGCCTAGGCCACTCCAGGACTTTCAAATGCTTCTTACGGAGCCACTCCTTTGTTGCCCGGGCGGTGTGTTTTGGATCATTGTCATGTTGGAAGACCCAGCCTCGTTTCATCTTCAAAGTTCTCACTGATGGAAGGAGTTTTTGGCTCAAAATCTCACGATACATGGCCCCATTCATTCTGTCCTTAACACGGATCAGTCGTCCTGTCCCCTTGGCAGAAAAACAGCCCCATAGCATGATGTTTCCACCCCCATGCTTCACAGTAGGTATGGCGTTCTTGGGATGCAACTCAGTATTCTTCTTCCTCCAAACACGACGAGTTGAGTTTATACCAAAAAGTTCTACTTTGGTTTCATCTGACCACATGACATTCTCCCAATCCTCTGCTGTATCATCCATGTGCTCTCTGGCAAACTTCAGACGGGCCTGGACATGCACTGGCTTCAGCAGCGGAACACGTCTGGCACTGCGGGATTTGATTCCCTGCCGTTGTAGTGTGTTACTGATGGTGACCTTTGTTACTTTGGTCCCAGCTCTCTGCAGGTCATTCACCAGGTCCCCCCGTGTGGTTCTGGGATCTTTGCTCACCGTTCTCATGATCATTTTGACCCCACGGGATGAGATCTTGCGTGGAGCCCCAGATCGAGGGAGATTATCAGTGGTCTTGTATGTCTTCCATTTTCTGATGATTGCTCCCACAGTTGATTTTTTCACACCAAGCTGCTTGCCTATTGTAGATTCACTCTTCCCAGTCTGGTGCAGGTCTACAATACTTTTCCTGGTGTCCTTCGAAAGCTCTTTGGTCTTGGCCATGGCGGAGTTTGGAGTCTGACTGTTTGAGGCTGTGGACAGGTGTCTTTTATACAGATGATGAGTTCAAACAGGTGCCATTCATACAGGTAACGAGTGGGGGACAGAAAAGCTTCTTACAGAAGACGTTACAGGTCTGTGAGAGCCAGAGATTTTCCATGTTTGAGGTGACCAAATACTTATTTTCCACCCTGATTTACAAATAAATTCTTTACAAATCCTACCATGTGAATTCATGGATTTTTTTTTCACATTCTGTCTCTCACAGTTGAAGTGTACCTCTGGTGCAAATTACTGACCTCTGTCATCATTTTAAGTGGGGGAACTTGCACAATCGGTGGCTGACTAAATACTTTTTTGCCCCACTGTAACTGTGGGGAGACCAAGGTTTGTGGAGGTAAAACCTCCATGGGCAACTAGTGCTGAAAGCTTGGACCCTAGGTGTGGTAAGAAACCTATACATTGCAGTCAAAGGTACAACCTCGATTGCTATTACTGTCAGCAGCCTGGTCACAAAGCTTCTGTACGACTGTAACAGAGTAATATAACAAATGTCTTTGTCCTGGGTGTAATTAAGTAAGGTACTGCATTACTTTTACGAAAAGTGTTGTGTAGTAACTTTTTTTAACTTTACTCTTTTGGAGTAATGACACCAACACTGATCACAGCAAAGAGAGCAAATATCTCCAACATGCACAAACATTTGACCATGCAGGATATAACTGATTTGCATGAAGGCAAGGTCTTTGATATATTCCTCAATGTAGAGCCATTGAGAATCGATAAGGAATCGAAACAATAAGTGATATCGATTATGGAACTGGAATTGCTAAATTCTTATCCATTTCCATCCCTACCAAAGTGTTTGCTCATAGGGGGTCATGTGATTGTTGGGGTTTTCTCCATTTCCTTGTATTATTGTAGGGTCTTTACAATAAAAAGCACTTTGAGGAACTGTTGTTGTAATTTGGTGCTATATGAATAAAACTGAACTGAATTACACTACATTCTGTGTACACATGATACAGAGAAAAGGACAAAGTATTCCAAATTACACAATCAATGACAATCAATGGTGACGGGTCTGATGAATCAAAATATCAAAGTTCTGGTTCAAATTATTGTCAATATGTTTGGAGGATGTCAGGAGAGAAGTACAACGTAAGAGTCTACAGTCATCTGTAAAGCACAGTCGAGGCTTTATGGCTTAGGACTGTATTTCAACAAGTGGTGTTGGACTTTTGTCAGAACTGGTGAACTTATGAATACAGACTAGGGCGGGGCCATATCATGCCATTCACGGTAACACCGGTATAATTTTGGGCAATGATAGCAAAATGAAATATCGCGATAGATTATGGGTAAAACGCGCATGCGCAGTGCCTTTGTTTTCATACGCACATGTCGGAAAAAGCAAATCGTTGAATGAAACAGATGAACCAGAATTGGTTTGTAAAAATGCTGCAACTTCAGTGTGGAACTGGTTTGGCTTTCGTCCGTCAGATACACAACAAAGCACTATTTTTGGTAGAGCATGCTAGTGGGCTGTCGTTATTACCGTGTTCTTTGGAAAATACGGCACACTTAAAATCAATCCTTTGATTTTTCTGAAAATCGACAGTGCCCCTTATAATCCAATGGGCCTTATGTATGAACTCTGGTTGTGTTTACTGACCTCGAAACGATTTTATGTACACGGCGCTCGAAAATCTGTCAAATGTTTTAGTACGACTTTGCTAAGCTACGAACCCGCACCGCTTGATGGATTGTCGGAGCATTACAGCTATCGTAGTCAGGAGCCTGGCGGAGTGATACGTACTGTGCTTCAACATAATATTACCGTATTGTGTGTGTATAACCTCTTTTTAAGTTTTGTGGATATTATACATGGTTATGCTGAGGATATGTTGGCCAATTTCCACTGGAAATGCCTTTTGGTTAAACTGTGAGCAAGGAATTTGCATTTGCACTGTTAAATTTTTATATAACTTTAATGCACATAAAAAAAAAACAGCTGCTTGTTTAAGTGAAAATACATAGATGTTTTTTTTCACTAATAAAGTTGTGGAGTTGTAAAGTATTTTATCTAGTGTCAGTTATATCGTTATCACAAATTTTCAAATGTATATCGTGATAAATATTTTTGGTCATATCGCCCTGCTCTAATACAGACTTTGCTCCAGCATGCAATCCCATCTTAAAGACATCTGGTTATGAAAATTTAAGCCATTCCCAATGATCCCAAACATACTGCCAATGCTTTAAAAGCATACTTGAATAGAAGAAAGTCACAATGGAAGACCATCAGTCATGGTTGACCTCCCAAGATCTCACCATAACTCAAAAGTGTGGGATCATATTGACAGGGAATGGAACACAAAGTAGCCGACAACCAAAGAACAGCTTTGGAACATCCACTGAAAGTCAAAAGGAACTATTCCTGAAGAAATCACAAAGAGGGAGTTTAGACGATGTTGAAGAATAATGGTCATCATACCAAATATTGACTTCCACCTTGTTAAACTTGTACAAATGCTGATTTTGCCTTATGTACAATATTTCTGTGTATGTTTGGACACATATACATGTTTCAGTAAATTGTTAAATCCTATTTTCCTAACAAAATATAAAGTGGTTTGAACACTCAAATAGAGTAGAAAAGCACTACATAGGAAACAGTCCATTTACCAAAATATAAAGAAATCAGTGCCAGCTCATTTTATTTTGCACAGTAATGTAGCACACAGCATGTCTGTATGTGTGCATATGCATCTGTTATTCTTTTCTGCCCGGTAAAATTAGAAATGACTCGTGATGTGCAGATGATACAAACATACTTGGTTTGTCACCGTCAGTGGCAGCTGTCCCCCAGGAAGACAGAGGTGTGTTTGGAAACATCTCCTTGCCCAGCCTCTCTGCTATCTTCCGAGCAGAGATGGTGTCCTTGAAGTTCTCCCTCCAGGCCAGGGTGGCGCACAGTAGGCACAAAGTCTTACCTGTGCCTGTGGGGCTCTCCAGAACACCATTGACTTTCTGAAATAACCAGACAGATAAAGCTAAACAGAAAAACCCCACATTGTGATAGTGACAATATTGCAGTATTAGAGACTTCCAGGTATTAGACTATGCTTCTATGAGCAAACACTTGGCAGTGTGGAGGAAGATCTCCCTTTTAACAGGAAGAAATCTCTAGCAGAACCAGGTTCAGTTATCAGGGCAGTTATCTGCACAGATCAGCTGAACGGTAAGACATACACCTCGCCATGGCACAAAGCAAACTATCAGAGCAACTAGACAACCAGAATGTTCAGTGCAAAGATGGGACATTCCCCAGCAGCCTAATCTAAGGATGGTTCAGGGTCACCTGATCCAGTTCAAAGAGGATTGTTTGAAGCCCAATGTTAAAAGCAGGGAAGGCGTCTGGCTCCAGAACCCAAACTTAGAGGTAGTTCAATAATAGAAGAGCCTGGTAAATTTAGACTAAGAAGCACAAGTAAGCTTTCACTGTCAGAGCAAAATGCCCTGCTTGGGTAATATGTTATCATTCAAAAACATTCAAGATTGATTTTAAAATCAGTTCTCAACTTAACATGGGGGCTATTTCAGCTGTTTGTCAGCAGTCAAGAGCCAGAGTACACCCCAGACAGGTCACCAGAGTGCTATTTATTTTATTTATTTATTTATTCTTACATAGAAACTATACAGCAATTGTAAGGACAGACCCATGACATGAAGCCTCCTTTGTCATGTCTTTTTCCCCATCAAGTATTAAAACAGATCTGGACCATAAGCAAGTCAGTTTATCACCAATCTCTTTTATTATGGAGGCATGCTGAAAATTAGTGTCTGGTTTACGTGAAACAACACACTGAAACACATTATTGTGTGTGCTGCCTTTTGGTGCCACTGTTAAAAAGTCAGGTTCCTTTTTTGTCAGGGCTAGGTCACCCTCATACCTTTCTGATCTTTTAAACTGGTACATTCCTGCAAGATCACTGAAGTCTGCGGATCAATTGCTCCTGGCTGTCCCGAGGTCCAGATTAAAGCAAAGAGGAGATCGGGCCTTTGCTGTGACTGCTCCTAAACTGTGGAACGAACTGCCGCTTCACATCAGGACCTCCCCAACATTGGACACTTTTAAAACCCGTCTGAAAACACACTTTTATTCCTTGGCTTTTAAATCAGAATGAGTTTGTATTACTTTTATTTATCTTCTTTCTCACTCAAATCTTCTAATTTCGTGATTCTCTTTCTTAACTCTTATCATATCTCCCTATGCTTTTATTTCTTTTAATTATCTTAATTGTACAACACCTTGGTCAACAGTTGTTGTTTTAAATGTGCTATATAAATAAATTTGACTTTTGACTTTAGGTCACGTGATCCTGAATCCACCCTTAGTTATGCTTCAATAGACTTAGGCTGCTGGAAGCTTCCCATGATGCACTGTGTTTCAGCATCTCTCACCCCTTTTGACTCACTGTGATGAGTGGTGTTAGGCACTCTGCTGTTAATTATGAATCATTATTAACCTCCGTCTCTCTTCCACAGCATGTCTTTATCCTGTCTTCCTTCTCTCACCCCAACCGGTCGCAGCAGATGGCCCCGCCCCTCCCTGAGCCTGGTTCTTCCGGAGGTTTCTTCCTGTTAAAAGGGAGTTTTTCCTTCCCACTGTCGCCAAAGTGCTTGCTGATAGGGGGTCATATGATTGTTGGGTTTTCTCTGTTGTATTATTGTAGGGTCTACCTTACGATATAAAGCACCTTGAGGTGACTGTTGTTGTGATTTAGTGCTGTATAAATAAAACTGAACTTGAATTAAAAACCAATATGATTGTACACTCATTTCTTCAACCAGCTGTAACTGTAGCAACACAATGGAAGAGGTTACAAAAATCCAGTGGTGCACATCACTGCAACACCAGCATTACATAGGAACGTATTCGATAAATCACACTTCATCCAGTATAGCACAGCGACATACTGCCAACATAATTTACCCCCATTTCACCAACGCTTTTTAACTCTCCGGGCAATCCATCCTGGTGATTTAGTGTGTCTTGAAAATAGAGTGTGGATTTTGAATGAAGCTAACAGTTTGAAAATAGAAGACACAGAAGATGAACAGTCATCTACATAAAATAATGTGAATTTTCATATCATATTAACGTGTTTGTCTGAAAAACTACAGAGAGTTTACTAACATTAGCTAATGGTAAATGGCCTGCATTTGTATAGCGCTTTTCTAGTCCCTAAGGACCCCAAAGCGCTTCACACTACATTCAGTCATCCACCCATTCACACACTGGTGCTGGCAAGCTACATTGTAGCCGCAGCCACCCTTCATATCAAAACACACACACCTGAAGATGATGAAAAATCTTCTGCAAGAAGAAGATGTAAAGTCTTGCTTACTCTGGACCTGCTGAAATGTCTTTTCTTGGATAAAGCTGTTTAAAATGCATTCATTTTGTGTATTTGTACAGTCCTGAAAGATATCTGTGCATTCAGCTGCACTCGATTACTTTATTTTTAAATCTGCTGCATCAGAATCCTCTTCAGTCACAGTCTTGCTGTGCATGAATGTATATGTTGAAAATAAATCAAGATGCAAAACCATTACTTTCACCTTTATTAAGGATATGTTGTCTTTCTGTCATCTTCAATGTGTTTTGAGGTTTCAAAAAGAGGTCATACATGTGCCTGGATCACTTTTCATTCCTAAGCAGATGTTTGCAGTAGTCTACACTGAATTTTAGAAAGGAACTAAGTATCCACGTGCTTTTCTTTTTTGCTTAATTCATAATGTTATGTATGAGCCGAGGTATATTGTGTGTTATAAAAGCTATCGCCAGTAGTGGGCACCACGCCATGTTATGTGTGTGTGTGTAACTTCTTCAGGTATAGGATAATAAAGAGAAGAAGACGGAATGTAAACAGCTAACGTGTGTATCTGTCTGGCTCTGTTCTATCACTAAAGAATATAGGAATGCTTGCTGTATTTTAATGCACACATTACACCACGACCTGAGTGAGAAGATCAGCCTGTATGAGTATGGCACAGAGAGCAGGAGGAAGTCGCTAAAGCAATACGTAGATGCGACTGCCACCTGAAACGCAGGCAAAGCACCACTAAACGACCTGTTCCCAAAGAGGAAACGGCGCCTATCCCGACAGACACAGCAGATATATGTCGGCAATACGCCGTTGTGCTTTCTGGGAAGCGGCGTTTTGCGCGAGCAGATGCGAGATCACTTCTGTCATGCGGCAAACGGTGAGCATGGTGGCCGCATAGCTGTGGCTACTCAGTACTGCCCTTTGCAGCTCGTTTCCATTAACAGACATACACATGTCAGTCGATTCTTACCTTCTGAAGACATTCGATCACTTTGTTCATGTATGCCTTCTGACATTCGTAGGGAGAAAAAGGGAAATTTACAGTCACTCCGCTAAGAGTCAGTGAAGGCATTCTGTCATCTGGCGTCAGTCGGCAGCAGCAAGAGTAGTTGTTCTTGTTTAGAGAGGTACTTCTTCTAGCGCTGTAGTCCCTTCTACTGTTTGACCCGTTAAAATGGCTGAACTGTGGTATAATGTACTTTTAACACTGGCTCATTTAGACTCAGTAGAAAGGAGTTCCCAACTCTTGTTGTTTCGCGCCAGCTTTCTGTTAACTTGCCCATGCGCACTGTGACGCTGACGACTGGTGCGTTCAAAGGGTCACGGAATCCTGAACACTCCAACAACAACCTTTAATTTTCTAAACCACTTTTCTCGCCTTCAATGGAAAAAGTGAGCAGGTCCGGGGAAAATGGGTAGGATAACTCATAAGGAGAAAAGCAGTGCACTGAGAATCGCAACGACTTTTTACAGTCTCCAAAGTATTGATGCCTGCCACGCTAAAACTACAACGTGCAGAAGATGGACTACAAAACGCGCGTCGATGCCGGTGTTGTACCTAAAAGTGCCGCAAAGGAAATGAGCGAGGCTTTAAAATAATCTGAAACTCATCTCCACAGTGACATCTACTGACCAATTTGGCTATCACTACATCTTTCTGTGAAACAATGATGCAGACATGCCCTGCACAATTCCAAACAAAGCTACTATTATACCAGACTGTCATAATTGTGATCAGCAGATGTTTTCATACAAACAAGGGGAAAAAAATAATGAGACTGTTAAAGACAGATCTGTGACTATAGTGATCGATGTGCTTCAGCAAATTTCTCCATCTGTTAATATTCCTGCTGCTCACAATAAATCAATTTATATAGTAAAACAAACAGAGAAAAGTCTGCGATGTTCACTGTAACGACCACACTGATTTACAGCTGTTTTTGGGCTCAGACGGCTTCGTTTGTGCTCACAGCCCTGAAACTTTGAATGTGTTTGTTTGACTTTTAGGTTTTCTGGAAGTTCATGTCATCAGGTTGGTTTTACACTGTCAACCAAAGTGAGAAGCTGGCATAGCGTTAGCTTTGATTTTAATTAACTTAAAAATATACATTTAAATGAAAAGACTACATGTGTTTTCCTTCTTTATAAAAAAAAAAGTTAACATTTTCATGGGATAATTCTGACCAATCGTAACAGTCCATTTCACGCACATCTTCATCCTCTGCTGAGCAGCCTCTGAACTATGCAGAAACTTTCCTGAACTTTATCTTGTGACACTGGCGTGATGTTTTACTGGGAGTCTGGAGTTTTGGTCATAGTGAACCTGCATAAGAAAAAGAACCCCACACATCTGTCATGAAAATTGTTAAGAAATAGATCACCTGTAATTAATGAAAGAGTTTTATTGGCGTCTCTTTTTATAGTATAAACATATTCTTTAAGTAACGGATTGTAGTGAGGATGAAGTCACTTAATGCTGCAAATTACATTTTCTGTTGAAAGCAGACAAAACTATATTTTCTCCTTAAAGCAGGTGTTCTCACACCTTCTTCATCTTTCTGCTCTTCCAGTGTCTCACCAATCTGCTGAACTCTTCATCTTCTCTCAACAATCCCCCCAAAACTTGGCCAGCATTTTTTTTTTACTTAATTTCAGAATCCACTTTTAACTAACAGACTGATTTATTTATTTAGGACAGTGCATGTTAATGAACATAAATGTAAAAAAGAAAATTACATGAATGTAAACATACCAGATTATAGCCAAGGGCTAATTTCCATCTGTTGTCCTTAAGCATAAAAATAGACATAATAATTCATAAAAATTCATCATTCATTCATAATAAAAACTCCATCACCAAACTTACACATACACACCATTCTGTTCCCAAATAAAACATTAAAACTATACAACTCATACATCACACACTTGATTTGTCCATAACCAGTTTTTAACCTTTGCCTTAAACAAATTGAATGTCGAGCATTCTCTAATGGGTTGAGGAAGACTGTTCCACAGATGGCCACCCTGGACAGAAAGGACGTTCTGCCCAAATGCTGTCCGTCTGTGGGGTATAAACAAGTCTCCTCGAATTGTAGCTCGAGTGGTCCTGTCTGAGCTTTCTTTATGCCTAATGAACTGCTTGCGTGATGAAATTCACTATGATCAAAAACAAACCATAATACCAACGGCTCCGTGATGTGTGAGTGACGGCTACATAGCTACTTTGTGTAAAGGTTTACCCGTGCTGTCAAATGTATTTATACAAAACATGGATTACACACTCAGTACTTACGTTTAAACAAAACGTGGGAGTGTTGGGCCGCCACAGTGGGGGAGTTTAGGTCCAGGTTAAAGGAGCGAGAGAATCGCTCTTCTGTAACAATGTTGAATGTTTGCTATTGCGTTGATTCACTTGTCTGTACTGAATATTGTTATGTGTTATACTATGTAGTGACTTCTGTTGCCCTCTTGGCAAAGACTTTTATACAAATCGTGTAACTCACTAGTACACCAAAGTGACTACAAAGTCATCATGGAAAGAGCTTTTCTTTCAAATCCTTAGTGTTTGGGGAAAACACAAAGGCTTGACATTGTTAGTTCACTCTGCATGTCTGTGGAGTGAACAAAGTGTATAAGATGCAGATTATGAAACTCTAGCTGTAAGTTCTAGTCTATTTCATGAATACAGTTTTATTTCAGGTCTTTCATTAATATTAATATAATTAACACTACTTGGTCCCAACAGTAACTATGACTTGTGTAATATGTGTAGTAGTGCGATTACTCTCATCAATGTGTTTTAGGATGAGTGGTTTGTTTGTAAAAATGTTTCAGAGTAGTTATTATATTCCCTCATTGTCTTTCATTTTCAGAATTATATCAGGCTAGGAGCTTTATACAAGTCATGTAACGTAGAAGTACCCAGTTATTATGGTTACATACTGATATGTGGTGTCTGAAGTTACAGTGTATTTTTTAAATAGATGAGGCTGAGGGTTGACAGGTACGGTCAAACATATTCTATGTTTTTATTGGCTCGGATTAATATGTCTTACACCTTCTACTGTAAGATTTCTGTCACCATCTTACAATACTTACAGTACATAACAATCCCATTACAAAAAACAGAGGTGACGACTGGCTGACATCTAAATCGACATCCACGACACAAGCAGGGCTTTGAGTAAAATGCCACTGTACGTCATCACTGTCCACAAAAAATAACAACAAAATTCAACACACATATTTTATTTTTATCAGTGAAATACAATAATCAGGTATTACAGTGGACAGGTTACTGTCCTCCAGCTGTGGGAAGAATGATTTTGTTTGTGTCATAGTAGTTCTCCTCTATGAGAGGGCCACCATCGGCCTCGCGCTGCTGAATCAAATGTTCGGCCTCTCTTCTGGCCCACTGCCGCATGCTGGAACACAAAAATACACCAGATATGGACGGTGAGAAAATCAGAATGAAACCTATAATTAAACAATAATTAACTCAAGTTTAGGTGTAAACATTTCATTATTCCACTTAGACCCTCATGAATTCCAGAAAGAATATTCAATTGTGATGTTTTGTCAACAGGACAACTTTCATCCGTCCATGTTAAATCAGAGTTGATGGGTACATTTTTGGATCTTTTCTTTGCATGGTGTCTTGGATCCTCCCCCACCAACCCATCCAGCTCACCACCGGGCAGTCATCAAGTAAGAGCTCACCCTCTCTCTTTACGTGAGTGTCTAGAACACACGCCGCAGATCCAGTGATACAAAAATCAATCAATCAACCTGCGACATAAATGCACAAGTCTCCTGGACAACCTAAGAACACACTCAGATTCAGACATTGTGTTTGTTATGGACAAACTCTGACAACAACAGGAACAAGAACATTTACAAAATCTCCAGCAGAACAAAGACCGATGAGATTTGTCCAGACCGTCTGGATGTTTTAGTGATGTACCATAGACGAGGGCTGTGCCTATATCATATTGTCCACAATAATATCAGTCTATGTTTTTATGCAATATAAAAATGTCATAGTGATGTCATTACTATTGTAAGGTTTTGCATTATTGTTCTCTAGTGTAAAATAGAAACAAACCTGAGCATGTCAGAGAGTAAGAGCCATGTGCCAGCCTACGATGAGCTAGTACCTAAAAAGGAAGCTGCCTCAGCTGCCTCCAACAAAGCAGCACTTTGTAAAATATGCAAGAAAACCGTTCACGCTAAAGATGGAAACAAACTTCTTTTTGAGAAAATTACAAAAAAAAAAAAAAAAAAAAAAAAAAAAGGCCATCCAGTACAACCCAGCTAAGGAGGAGAGCAGCTGCCGATGCAAACAGTGGGGGAAAATTACTGATCTGGTTACATACATGCTACTTTTAATTTATGCTGTTTGAATGGATATAATGCAAAATCACTAATGCACAATAATGCTGCTCGCACCTTGCTTCAGTAGAGCCACAGTTTAAATTACTGTGTTATTAATGACAATAACTGATTGGAAAAGGGACAATTTCCTTCATGAATTTACAATTACAAACGCTGCTGTCTGCAAGCCTCATGTTATACTTTAAATCCTCTATGTGAGGCAATTCTAAAGAGTTTCGCAAATACTTTCATTCTATTTACATTTTAAAAATATTCCAACTGTAAAATTTAAGTTTCTTAATCTCAAGTCACTCTTTAAAAAAAAAAAAAGTGTTATTAACTTGATATTCAGTTAGCGTCTGCTGTGCTCCCAAGTATTGCTTATTAATATATTGATAAGCGTTGGTCTTCCTTGGTCTCCTGTGTTCTGAGGGCCTCTGGATGTCTGGAGCCTGGATCTCCTCCATACCTGCTTCATGCCCTGGAGGACGGGGCTGTGGCCCCCCCACACCCTCTAGCAGTCATTACATGAAGGAACCTTTTGAATAAAAGCTAGCTCATGCTCACAGGTGTACACACGGGTGCTCACACACAAACTACGAGACAAGAACACAGATGATCTAAGCAGTTGTATTTTTAACCCAAAAAAATAAAAATAAAAAATACATGAGAACAAAATACTGAGTGTATGCAGGAGGGTGTGAAAAATAACATTTTCACAAAAAGGATGTAGAAAGTGTTTTCACTCACGCTATTCCTCTGCTGCTTTGTATTACACAAACGCGACAAAGATGATGTGAACTGTTAAAAACAGACGAGCCTCGAGTACGGACGCGCTCAAAGGGGCCAGAATGGAATCAGAAAGATTTCAAAGTCCTTTCATGTAACGTGTCAGTGGCAGCTACGCCTCTAACCACAGTCCTAAGAACACAGCTGATCAGGGAGGGGATTCAAAAACAAAAATAAAATCGGCCCTTCGTGATCGCTCAAACAATTACATTTAATGACAGGAAGTTCATTCAACTGGATGTAGTGTTTTCAGGGGGAGATAAACAGAATCAAC